TTCATGCCATCGACTAGGGCAAACTGCAGTTGCCAACCCGCTTGAAAATCTTGGCAAAATCCCAAGCCTTGGCAATGGTGAAATCGGTGGAACGGATGGATTCGATACAGTCCGATTTTCAGATTAGAGTCGAGATTTTGTACGTGGTAGAGTTACGCTGCAGCCATATTATAGTTGTAGCACGAATGGGTCGGCTCATCCGGAGCAAGACTACGCTCTTACAGAATAGCAGCGTAATGCTGCTGTGTTTCGTATGGTGAGTGTAGAGAACCGGAGACCCTTTTTTACTGGAATCGAGGCATTCCATTTTAAGCTTTGATCTCTTGACCGCGTTTGCCCTTCGTCGCTGACGCATACTGCGACGGAACAAGAGGCCAGGCTTTCTGTACAGTTTTCATACGATTTTGTGACCGCATGCCGCGTACCGCAGCGCTATGCGTTACGATCAAGAGACCAAAGCTTCAGTACTTAGGGGTAACAACGCATTTGCATTTTGATTCTTAATTGAGAATAAATGTGGATGTCTACGGGCCACAGCATCCCATACCATCAGGTGGACTGTGTGCTCGTTTGTCACCCAATGCTATAAAAAAAATGTCTGCACAAATTAAGGTATGTATTTATTCCAATACAAAATCGGAGGTAGAGTAGGGTATAGTGTACAAGTACAAGTGGTCCCTATCAACACTATTAGATCCGTAAACTCACAATTTCGGTTTTTGCACTAATATTGGTTCCGTTCGAGCCTGTGATATGAACCTCGAACTGCTATGTCGGGTCAAATTGAACGATAACGCAGCATTCGGTTGAGGAGGAGATAATAAATAAAATCAAATTCTAAACACACTGGCAACAGATATATTATGTATGGTACAGAGATTTGTACTAGTATCATAAAATGCACGCAATACAATTAAACATAAACAATCTCATTAAAAAAATCAGTTTATAAATTAAATAGACTCAGGTTTCAACTTAATCCGTTTCAATAAAAAAAAAAACCGTGGAAAATGCGCCAACTAAAAGTAAAGTCTCGATCTCGAATATAAAAGGAAATAATCAAACTTTGTGAAGACTGCAGTTTTGCAGCTAAGTGACTTGTATCGTGTCACTTTAAACCTGAGACTATTTCGTTTATTAGACCGAAATTATTTTGGAAGACAACAATGCTATCATCTTCGCGTCATGATTACAGTCCAAAAAATCATTCACATTATTACAGATTAAAAAAAAACAACTAGAAGTTGATGCTATCGGATACTGAAATGGTGCTAGTTTTTCCACAAATTTCATGATGAATATTCATACTTTTTAATATTTCACGTCTAAGCAGTTTAATATATTTTTTTATTTATTTAATAACGAGTTTTTGGCACAATATTGTGAATGATTTTTTCGATTACAAAAAAATATAAATGAATGAAGTATGGTAAGGTAGTTATGATGTTAAAAGACGAGTTATCACAGAATGTTTTAAATTTTAGAAATAATACATAACATTTAAATACAAAATAGCTTTTGTGTAAGTCAAAGGTAACATTTATCTATGAAGGTAACTCAGCGTAATTAAAGCAATAGAGGAGAAAAAATATCGGATTTAATTGTAAAGAACTTTATTTTTTTAACTTTAATATTCTGATTTTCATTTTAATGTTTTTTTTTAACCTATCACTGCTTCGCACCGCCGCTATCATTAATCGGAGGCTAGTAGACCGTTATTACCTTATGTTAGGTGTAGTTTGTACATATGAGTCAAATGTACAAACTTTTATTTTCTAAAACGTAACCACCACTTTACTAGGATTTTCTCCCGTATCGTGGAGGCAGTATTGGAACGTCCACGTAAATGTGATTTATCATCTTCGGCTACAATACCAGTTAATATGAGCTGGGAGTAGTCGGGCACTGGTTTAAAATATGTAGTTAAAAAAATTAGAAGTACTTAAACGTTTACGTGTGATTGACGCGGACCCGGCGCACATTGGAAAAATTGCAAAAACGTCGCATGAACATCGGTTTATACGCTACATACGTTTGCTACATTTTCGACGTTGGTTCGCTATTTATATGATCATCATATATATATGCTCACAGTACGAGTTTAGTTTTGACGGCCCCGTGGCGCAGCAGCATAGTAATACATAGAACAAGTATTTGTATGGACTACAAATTATTGTTCCGGGTCTGGATGTTTGTCCTTGTGCAATTTACATATGTCATAAAATGCCCCCGCAACACCGGGGAAAATAGTGTGCTGATAAGGTTTTATCTAAAAGAAGAAAATAGATACTATTGCTTTAGAATGCAAATTGGTTGTGGCATTACCAAATAATGACAATTATTTCAATAATGTTTAATGTACATTTTTTTAGCTACATTAAACAACTATAGTATAAGTATATACTAAGCACCATTTGCTATAAAGACCTAAGGCATAAAGTTTAATACGGCGCTGTGAATCGACCGAATAGACATTCTTCGTTCTACAGTGAATTTGTCAGCGGCTGTACTAAGGATTATTAATTATAATGATCATATTATATTATAGTACATATTAAAAAAATCGATCGTTGTCTTTAATCGTCGAGGACGATGCTTGGACATAATTTACAACACTTGTTTTTATTTGTAGTTTACAATAGTTTAAGCGCTTTAAACACTATGTAATAAATAATAATACATATTTAAAATCAGAAAATATATTTACAAATGTATCTTACATGGAGAAGAGCATCTACTATTATGCATGCATGTTTATAACAACGCAACTTAAGTAAATAAACATTATTATTAAATAATAAACAATCATAAAACTTTTTTTTAATTTTTGCGTCATATTTATACATTACGAAAATTTCGTTAAAATTAATTAGAATATTTTTACATACCATTTTAAGTATAACAAACGAATTGTTATCACAGTGACATAAAAAAATATTTTAGAGTACTGGTATACTGTGCGATATAGGAAAGTACTTGATTTATTTTTAAACAATTCTACAATAAATATGCAGTATTTGCCCGCCTGCAGGCAATATTATCCTAAAATCTATCGTTTCAAGTATTTTACATTATTATCGAATTTGTTTTTGGAGAATGGAAGATCTAACTTATACATTTGTGTCAGGTAGACAAAGTGGTTATTTTGCCATCATCGTGATGGTCGTGATTCGTTCGTTCGTCTTTTGTCCCGTCTATAATCTCGCATACTTGGAACGTTACAACGTGCTGTAATGTGACTACAGATTACGCGATTTAATAATTAATTCAGTTTGGTTTTAATTGTTATATTTATATGCTATACGGTGGCGAATTTACCAGAAGGCTGAGTAGGCTGGTATGATAACGGTACGTATGCGTCGTTCCTTTCATTTGATTGAATTGGTGATCGAAGTAACAGTGAAAACACCACAGTGACAGTGTGGTTCTGGGATCGCAACATTAGTTACAGAGTTTGGGCGGGAACTAGAGCGCTGGCAGATTGGCGCTCTTGTGTTATCGTTTCATTGTTGGTTTGTGAAAGAGTGATTGAAAATTGGATACAAAGAATTGAGCACTACCATTGTGCTCATGGTGTTTATATGAACGACTTTGAATTCCATACATAATTGTAAGATGTGTATTACAACTGGAATAAATTTCAGCCCGATATCTATTCTGTGTTTTATTTAAATACAAAGTTGTTATGTCCTTATTGAAAAACCCCGTATAACGTATAAAAAAACGTTAGACTAGGCTGTATGGCCTAAAACCTTTGTTTACCTTAATTGGCGAATAGAAATAACAATAATAGCTCTTTGCTACATGGTCAGTGCTCACATAATACATAATAGAACACTGTTTTTTATCATATGTCCGTATAATAAATTACATTAGATAATTTCGGTTTTAAGAAAGTAATATACAGTAAAGAGTAATATACAGTTTGTAAATTGTAAGTTTTCGGAAATTATAGCTTGAAACAGTAATTAGATTAAGCATTCAAATCTCAAAAAGAAATCCTATAAAAAAACAATGTTTGATACTATATCAATTCATTGCTGCAACAGTTATATACTTACTGATCAAATAACGAGTTGTTAGATCATTAATTTACTATTGAGTCATACCACCTTCCTAATTACAAGTAAAAATAAAAAATTGCGGTTGCCAACCCCCAGCAAAGCGTGGCAGCTGTGGCAATCTATGGAGAGGCCTAAGTTCAGCGGTGGATTTTGATAAGCATTAACCGTAACAATTTACGTTTGCTACTTTAAGCAGTACCTCATATATTGTACGGTTTTCCGTCTTACGTTGAAAATAGAGCAATGGTGTTTAAAAGTAAAGTTACAGCCTATATAAGGCACAGAACACTTCTCATTTAGGGCAAGGAAATGGCTGTTGCGCTGTCCCCAGCGCGTGTTGGTCTTCGAAATATTTATTTTTATATCTCAGGCATGCAGCTGTGCTCACGATGTTCTCCTTTACCGCCGAGCTCATGGTAATCCAGCAAATAAAATTGCAAATAATAATTTCATTGGTGCCGACGGGGATCGAACTCGGGCTGCTCGCGTACTGTGAAATGTACCTGAGAGTCATGGTAGCCTTGATACAAATATCATTATTTGTATATTTATAAATAACATAATAAAATATAATTTTCATTAGTTGTTTAACCGTTGTCTTGTCGTTCACAAGTATTCTCATACAATTTCTATGATATTTTTGTTTTGACAGCTCACGAAAAGTATTTCAATTGACACGTGTCAACTGTCAATTATAATAACATGGCTCTTCAAAATAAATGTACAATAGTAATCTATGATTAAAGCTACAGGAACACAGATCCTAATTTCTTGAGAGCTGTAATAATTTATAACAATTGAAGATTTAACTACTTACATAACTCGATAATGTACAATAAACATGAATAAATTAAGTTCTTTTATGTATAACAACATTTTACGATTGGGCGTTAAATCCCATCAGATACTATTGTTAAAGCTAAACGCACTTCTGTGTCACAGCAGGTCATCTTCAAGGCCCTCACCGGTAAGGATGTGAGGCTCGCCTATCGCCTTCACCATATGACTATATTCACTCGTCGCCCACAGATAAAGGTTCAAAGTCCGCTCGGTACACTGCGCAATAAATCTGAAATGCCAAATATTTTAAAGATAGAACCAGTTGATTATACATAAATAAGGCGTAATTTTTGTTGTCTATTTTATAGAAGAATCCCCCCTAAATGTATTATTACTAGAATGATCAATAAGTTTTTGAAAACGCAATGAAACTCTAAGATAAAATAAGTAATTGTATTTATTTTTCAACGTAATCGCCTATTAAGCTAATACACCTAGAATAGCGTTTTGCAAGTTGGTCGATTCCCTTGGAAAAAAGACTTGATTCCTGGGACTCGAAAAAGGCCTCTGCAGCAAACATCACCTTATCAATTTCATAAGCACACGCACGTGCTTTTATAGGTGAGTAAAAAGGTAAAAATCACTCAGAGCTAGGTCCGGAGAATATTGGTGTTGCACCAACTGGAACTTAGCAGTTCGGATAGCAGCGCCTGCAACATCAGATCGATGGGCAGGGGCATTATCATGATGAAAACGCACTCTAGTACGCAATTTTCCTCGACGTTTATTCCTTAGTTCTTCGCGTAGTTTTTTGAGTAATGACGCGTAATAATCTCCGGATATTGTCTTCCCTCTACTTAAATAGTCGATCATTATAATACTTTCCACATCCCAGAAGACAGAGCCCATTATTTTTCCAACGGACGCAGACACCTTGAATATCTTGGCTGGCAGAGAAGACGGTCTTTTCCACACCTTGCTTTGGTTTTTCGTTTCGGGGTCAAAATAGTGTACACACGTTTTATCTACGGTTACGAAACGACCGCAAAAAGAATCTAGACCTTTTTCAATTATTGCTAAATTTAGCTGGAGGCGCCCAGCGCGCGGTCACCTTCTTGAATTTTAAGATATGACTTAAAATAAACTTAATTGTCCCAAACGAACGCTTCAGAATTTCACATAAATAACGAATGGCCACACGTTGATCTACTTTAACAATTTCTGTGTCTGTCTCTCTGTGTGTAAGTGTGTGTGTGTGTGTGTGTGTGTGTGTGTGTGTGTGTGTGTGTGTGTGTGTGTGTGTTGTCTGTCTCTCTCTCTCTCTCTCTCTCGTGTGTGTGTGTGTGTGTGTGTGTGTGTGTGTGTGTGTGAATGTGTGTGCGTGCGTGCGTGCGTACGCGCGCTCGCGCGCGTGTGTGTGTCTGTGTCTCTCTCTGTGTGTGTGTGTGTGTGTGTGTGTGTGTGTGTGTGTGTGTGTGTGTGTATGTGTGTGTGTCTCTCTCTCTCTCTCTCTCTCTCTCTCTGTCTCTGTCTCTCTCTCTCTCTCTCTGTGTGTGTGTGTGTGTGTGTGTGTGTGTGTGTGTGTGTCTGTGTGTGTGTGTGTGTGTGTGTGTGTGTGTGTGTGTGTGTGTGTGTGTGTGTGTGTGTGTGTGTGTGTGTCTATGTGAGTGTGTGTCTGTGTGTGTGTCTGTGTGTGTGTGTCTCTGTGTGTGTCTGTGTGTGTGTGTGTGTGTGTGTGTGTGTGTGTGTCTGCGTGTGTGTGTGTGTGTGTCTGTGTGTGTGTCTCTGTGTGTGTCTTTGTGTGTGTCTGTGTGTGTCTGTGTGTGTGTGTGTGTGCGCGTGCGTGTGTGTGTGTGTGCGTGTGTGTGTGTGTGTGCGTGCGTGCGTGCGCGCGTGCGTGCGTGTGTGCGTGCGTGCGTGCGTGCGTGCGTGCGTGCGTGCGTGTGTGTGTGTGCGTGTGTAAATAAAATTTTGTCGTACGATATCTTTAGAATGAATGAACCGATCGGGATGGGCGACACGGTGTTCGAAAGTGTTTATTGAGACTTCACGCTGATTACATTCAAGCTCTTGCTGTTTCTTCTGCATATCAATGATATGTTGCAACCCCGTAACATTCATTGCTATGCAGATGGCAGCACTGGTGATGCTCTGTACACCGGCCGTGCCAATATTTCTCGGGAAAACGTCTCCGAGTACCGGGACAAACTTGAGTCTGAAGTCGAGTCTCTGCTGAACAGAGTCTCGGATTGGGGGCGAATAAATCTAGTCCAGTTTAACCCCCAGAAGACACAAGTTTGCGCGTTAATCGCTAAAAAGAACCCATTTGTCGTATCTCCTCAGTTTCAAGGCACTCTTCACTTGTTGCCTCAGCCAGTATCGGAATCCTTGGCGTCGACATATCGAGTGACGTGCAGTTTCGTGGTCACTTGGAAGAGAAGGCTAAATTGGCCTCTAAAAAGCTTGGCGTGCTCAGCAGAGCGGGACAGTATTTCATGCCGCCACACCGCCTGCAACTTTACAAGGCGCAGTTTCGGCCGCATATGGAATACTGTTCCCATCTCTGGGCTGGGGCTCCCCAGTACCAGCTCCTTCCACTTGGCCGAATCGTCGACGACCGAGTGCTTTCCGATCGGCTCGATTCACTGGCGCTGCAAAGAGATGTTGCATCTCTTTGCATTTTCTTTCGCATATACCATGGGGAGCGCTCTGAGGAATTGTTCGGATTAATCCCAGCCGCCAAATTTCGTGAACGCACTACGCGGCAAACGTCCCGATACCATCCACACCATCTGGATGCTTGGCGGTCTACCACTGTACGTTTCAGAAGGAGTTTTCTTCCGCGTATGACCTCTCTGTGGAATAGTTTACCACCGGCGATTTTTCCGGACCGATACGACCTAGGGACCTTCAAGAAAAGAGCTTTACTCCTTTCTAAAGGGCCGGCAACCACCTGCAATTCCCCTGGTGTTGCGGTTTGGGGGTGAACATGCTGTTTGCCCCCTCTTCTATAAAAAGTCAATTTTTTTAAAAACCAAAACAATGTAAGTTTTTATAAATATTTGATGAAACTCCAGAATAGAAAATTTTTTATTTTTTTTTCTAAATTTTTTTAGATAACTTTTAATGTTTTATTTTATAATCGTTTTGAGCTCCTAAATTAAATAGATTTTCGAGCTTTGCGCTTGAAAATAAGCGGCAAGTTCCAGAGATAGCCTGCAGGGTCAAGCGTTTTACCGATTTTTTATCTTTTAACTTTCTTTATTTGGAAAAAGCTTTACCCCCACAGTAGGATTTTCTCCACTATCGTGGAAGCGGTTTGCATACATAAATTGCACAAGGACATATACCTAGGAAGAAGTATTTGTAGGCCATACAAATACTTGTTCCATGTAGAACTTGAACCATTGTTTCAAATTCTGCCCTGCAGACAAAGGCTTAGTCATTGCGCTACAGAGTCGTAAAATATTAGTTTACCATCGAATATATTTTTGCAAGGGTACTTGACATTATAAAGTTGGCAACCATATTAAGTGTTTCCAACTTAAAAGTGAAATTTCCAGGCAGTTCATAGCTTTCAACTATTCGGAAGATGTTGCTGTCATTGCAATGAGTCAAAAGAGTGGACATTGACAATCATTGACTAGAATATAATAGAAACCTACCTGACAAAGGGTCTCACGTCGCCTTCATTGGCAGTCTGTAGATGCTGGTAATAGAGATGGCGGTGCTGCTTGGTGATGATCACTGGCGGATATCCCGCCTGCATCAGCAACAGGTTCATCAGTAAGCGTGAAGTCCGGCCGTTGCCATCCACAAATGGGTGGATGTATACCAACTTGTAGTGTGCTAGGGCTGCATACCTGGAAATTACACATTAAAAAATTTATTATATTTATTATAACAATATATAAGAATACAACAGAGTAGAATAAGTTTTATATATATTATAGATTACAATAGAGTACTTATCGAAAGTCATTTATACCTTTACCATTGGCTCCAAAAAACTACTGTCCTGAAAGAACCAGCAAGAAACTCATAAGGACTTTCTCTTTTAACATTTATTTATAACAAATGTACAACTGTAACAGCATAAGTTTCACTTCAAGCTACTGTATAATGAGATTGTTCATATTTGGACGAAATTATTTTGGAGGCCTATGTTCAGCAGTGGAAGTTCGAAGGGCTGGTAACATAACTAATTGCCATTATTATAGTCATAATTAAGGTGATGAAACCAATAAGCTCACAAATAAGTATTCATTATCAGAATAATAGTCCTTCACAAGTCCACTGCAGAACATAATCCTCCCCAAGAAAAACTAAAAATTTAGTTCTGAGCAATCTGTATCCAAATTTTTATTTTTTTATAGGATAGGATGACAAACAAGCACACAGTCCACCTGATGGTAAGTGGTTGCTGTGGCCCATTGACATCTACATCTATTCTCGATTACGAATCAAAATGCAGATGCGTTCTCATCCGTGAAGACTTAGGTGGAATGCTTCGTTTCCAGTAAAAAGGGTCTCTGGTTCTCTACACTCACCATACGAAACACAGCAGCATTAAGCTACTATTTGACGCTGGTATTCTGTGAGAGTGTGGTCCTTCCCCGATCGAGGTGACTCATTCGTGCTACAACTATACTACTAATATAACTGCAGTATGGCTCTACCACGTAAAATATGGTATAACTAGCAATCCGCCCCGGCTTCGCAAGTGTGATTTCTGGATCTCGACAACAGCGCCACCTACTGGGTCCAATTTAGTTTTTAGAACATCCAGGAACCCACTCCAATACACACAAAAAATTCTACAGATTAATTTTATTATTCATTATAGCCTATTTTAATTTTTTTAACTTTCATTATAATGCCCCCATAATCCCCGGATCAATCAATCGGATTTTCGTAAAATTTGTTCTCAGTTGAACTCAAGATGACAAAACTAATAATTTCGCCGAATTTCAAACCTGTATAGATTAAAAGTTTAAATTTTTTTATCTTTAATGCCCCTGCACTGCCTTGGTGCAATTTCATAAAATCCATTCTTGGTAATTTTTAACATGATAAAAGGAATATTCTGGCCAAGTTTTATACCTATAAGAGCTATTGTTTGAAAATGTGTTGTGTATGTTTTATCAACGCCCCCGCAGCCCCTCTTGCGGGTGAAATTTCGCAAAATCCGTTCTTCACTGACCTCTACTTTGCGAAAGGAATATTCCTAACAAATTTCAAGTCTCTAGGTCTTATGGTTCCAGAGATATTGTGATGAGTCAGTACATAGGTGGAAATCTCGTACCGCATATTATATTGTCTGTCCTTTCAGTTTACAAAAAAAAATGACGATAAATAATTACGAAAAAAACCATATGGCTGAACTTTTTCTATCAACTATAAAGAATACATCAGTTAATTTCAACTTTCAACTTGTGAATGGTCTCATGATTTCGGATAGATGGTGTCATAGCCATCTTGTTAATACCAGATCTAATAAATGTCATGTGTGTATTTGTTTTAAGACATTTTTATTAAAATTATCTTGATCGTCGACTTGATGTAATCTGATTAAATCAAGCCATAAAGTAATTGAAACAATTAAAACTTGGTATCCATAAACAAAATCTAAAAAAGTATTAGCAATAATATTATATACATGTCAGGATTTTAATAATAATAAATAATAATAATAAAATAATTTATTTTTCTTTATAAAACTTAAAGTAATGACATAGTTTATTGGGATCTCCATTTAAGCAAGTAATGCCTGTGTTTGGAAACTCCACTTTTTATTATTTTTTTAATTTTAAAACCAAAAATGACAAAAACTATTATCGTTTCCAAAATTTACAAAAATTACAAAAGTGTATATGTGTGCGTGCGTGCGTGCGTGCGTGCGTGCGTGCGTGCGTGCGTGCGTGCGTGCGTGTGTGTGTGTGTGTGTGTGTGTGTGTGTGTGTGTGTGTGTGTGTGTGTGTGGCGCGCGCGTGTGTGTGTGTGTGTGTATGTGTCTGTGTGTGTATGAAGAATTATTTTGTTATATTATATTGTACATAAAAGTGAATTATGAAATGCAATACAGCAGAAATTCGGTTTCTTCATAGGTTACCAGAAGGCTTAACCACAACATCTTTTCGCCGCCTTTTCAAGATGCATGGGTCAAAGGGCAGGGATTTGTGTGCTTTAAGGATTGTTATAATAACATATAATTGTCTTACTGAGAGTAGACCACTTATTCTATACAGTTGATCAGTGGAAAAACGTCTTTTTTTAAAATACATGACCTTAATAAGGGTTCGTTGGGCTATTTCCAAGTTAAGAAATTTGGTCTTTGCAGCTCCACCCCACACTGGAATGCAATATGTTATGATAGATTGTGCAAGGGACGTGTATATTTGATTAAGAAGATATCTGGGAGTGTCCGACTGTTTAGTACTATCAGGTATTACGTGTCTTAGAGTTTTGAACATCCAAATCAATTTTCAGGTCCTATTAATAACATGCTCAAGGTGTGGGTACCACGAAAGCCTCTGATCTATAACGACGCCCAGATATTTAGTGTGAGAGACTTTTTGAATTGATGGGCAGTCACAAGCTTTGTTTTTAGCATCCTCAAAACAGATATGAATTTTAAGGCAAAAGTCATTCTGTGGCTGCAAGTTATTGGTAATGCTAAAGCAAATAAAATTTGTCTTAGCTGTATTCAAAGTGAGGAGATTTTGTTGCAACCACAGAGCGACTCGAGCCAGACCACTTTCAGCACTAGTCTTGACAGCCTCCCAAGATTCATCACCAAAAACCACAGCCGTGTCATCGGCGTACGATAGGATTTTGGCATTTGGTATGGTCATACTGCACAGGTCATTGACATAAATTAGAAATAAGGTCGGTCCCAGAACGCTACCCTGTGGAACGCCATATGATGACACCCCCGCTTCCCCACTAATGAACCCAGGAAGCTTTACATTTTGTTTTCTCTCTGACAGGTAGCTTTAAAAAGAGCAAGCGGAGTCCCTCTTATTCCAATTTTTTCAAGCTTGTGCACAAGGGTAGGGACAGAGACGGTGTCGAATGCTTTTTTCAGATCAAGAAAGACCGACAAACATTTTTTATTGTGGTCGAGTTGTTCTGTTACAAATGTGCTTAATTCAAGAATTACATCTTCTGTCGATCTTCCTTGCCTGAAGCCAAATTGTGTGGGTGCTAATTATATCAAATTTATTTAAGTAATTGAGTAATCTAATATTAAGTAACTTTTCCAGAATTTTAGATATTGCTGGTAGAACGGAAATTGGTCTGTAATTACTAATGTCATCTCTGTCTCCGCCCTTGTACACAGGTGTAATAATAGACTGCTTTAATGTTTTTTATAGAAGAGGGGGCAAACGAGCATGCGGCTCACCTGATGTCAAGTGACTACCGCCGCCCATGATCAACCGCAACACCAGGGGAATTGCAGGTGCGTTGCCGGTCCTTTAGAAAGGAGTAAGCTCTTTTCTTGAAGGTCCCCAGGTCGTATCAGTCCGGAAAAATCGCCGGTGGTAAACTACTCCACAGAGAGGTTGTAAGCGGAAGAAAACTCCTTTTGAAACGTACAGTGGTGGACCGCCAAGCATCCAGATGGTGTGGATGGTATCGGGAAGTTTGCCGCGTAGTGCGTTCACGAAATTTGGCGGCTGGGATTAATCCGAACAATTCATCAGAGCACTCTCCATGGTATATGCGAAAGAAAATACAAAGAGATGCAACATCTCTTCGCAGTGCCAGTGAATCGAGCCGATCGGTAAGCACTCGGTCGTCGATGATTCGAGCCGCTTTGCGCTGGATGCGGTCAAGTGGAAGGAGCTGGTACTGGGGAGCCCCAGCCCAGAGATGGGAACAGTATTCCATATGCGGCCGAACCTGCGCCTTGTAAAGTTGCAGGCGGTGTGGCGGCATGAAATACTGTCCCGCTCTGCTGAGCACGCCAAGCTTTTTAAGAGGTCAATTTGGCCTTCTCTTTCAAGTGACCACGAAAATCCACGTCACTCGATATGTCGACGCCGAGGATTCGATACTGACTAGGCACAAGGGAGTGTTCGATGTTTTTTTGGTTCTTTTTTTACAACTGGACTAGATTTAGTCGCCCCCAATCCGAGACTCTGTTCAGCAAAGACTCGACTTCAGACACAAGTTTGTCCCGGCACTTGGAGACTTTTTCCCGAGAAATATTGGCTCGGCCGGGGTAAATGGCATCACCAGTGTTGTCATCTCCATGGCAATGAATGTTACTGGTTTGCAACATATCATTGATATGCAGAAGAAACAGCGTTGGCGATAGCACGCAGCCTTGTGGAACACCAGCATTAATAGGCTTGCAATCGGAGCTTGCACCGTCTACAACGACCTTGATGCTCCGATCTGCAAGAAAGCTGGTGATCCAATCGCACAATTTCACGGGAAGCCCATAAGAAGGGGGGCTTCGAAAGAAGCGCTTTGTGCCAAACCCGATCGAAGGCTTTCGCAATGTCCAAACTAACGGCCAATGCCTCCCCCTTGGACTCTACTGCCTCCGCCCATCTGTGAGTAAGGTAGACCAGAAGATCACCAGCTGACCGACCACGCGAAAACCGTATTGGCGGTCACTAATCAGCTGGTGATCCTCAAGGTACCTCATGAGCTGGCAGTTTACAATGGACTCCATTGTTTTGGAGAACAAGGAGGTGATGGCGATAGGCCGGTAGTTGGACGGGTCTGAGCGGTCGTCTTTTTTAGGGATCGGGTGGACGAAAGCCGTCTTCCATGATTTTGGGACTACGCCTAGGGAGTAGGAGTACTGGAAAAGATGCGCTAAAACCGGTGCCAACTCTGGACCACACGTCTTCAGCACAATTGGGGGGATTCCGTCAGGCCCACTCGACTTGTGGATGTCCAGGGAGAGGAGTGCTTTGCGAACCGAGCGCTGTGTGAACTGCACTTCCAGCATGGAGAGCACTCACACCGGATGTCGGCGGGATGATCGGCGGCGTACTCCCCCCATCATCGAGAGTCGAGTTGGACGCAAAGAAAGAGCCTAGATCAGCTTTCTCCTTTGCGGTGTGGGCCAGTGAGTCGTCCTCCCTGTGCAGAGATGGAAGAGATGGCTGACAGAAATTCCCCTGGACAGCCTTGGCGAGAGACCAGAATGCACGGGTTCCAGAAGGAAGGCGAACTAGTTTCTCGCCAATTCTGCCTATGTGCTCTGACTTTGCCTTGGCAATGACTCTTTTGAAGGACCTGGAGGCGGAATTATACTTCTTTTTTAGAGCGCTGGTGTGTACATCCCGGGACGCCGATGCATCAGCCCAGGCTTGGTAGTACTCCTGCTTATAGCATGATGCTATTTTACAGGAGCGACCAAACCAAGCTGAGATTTGCCTCCAATGGGCACCACAGAGGAAGGAATAAAAAGTTCCATCTGAAGTACCACATCAATGACAAAATCCGCAACAACGTTGGGATCATCCGGGGAGAAGCAAACCCGCCCCCAAGGGTAGGATGCAAAGAAAGACCGCACCCCATCCCAATCGGCTGACCTATAGTGCCAAACACGGCAGCAGCCTGCAGAATGCAACTGCGGTTTCAGCGTGAGTGGCACCACACTCTGGACAAGACAATGGTCCGAGGAGCCTAAAGGGGCTTCGACGAAAATCTGATATCCGTCCGGGTGAGAGGTCAGCAGAAGGTACAACAGGGAAAGTGCATGATCCTCCACATTTAGAATCCGCGTAGGCGAAGAAACCAGTTGTGTCAGACCATATGTCAAGGCAAAATCATGAACAGATCTCCCCGCATGATCGGTTAAACGTGAACCAAGCCCTTCGGCGTGATGGGCGTTTGTCACCGAGGATCACGCTCTCTGCGGAGGGGATCTGCTGTAGCAACGAATTTGTAGCCATTTGGACGTGGTCGAAGAGTCGGTCTGTTTCAGCATTACCGCTATGGGACCTATAGAGGCACCCGTAGACGCGCGGATGGTCGTCGCTATCTACGCGTAGCCAAAGGATGGACAGGTCCGAACCTTTAAGTCTGCCGAGGCGTCGAGAACAGATGTGCTCTCTGACGTAAACGCAAACTCCAGCTCGAGGCACAAAGGAGTGTTCCAGTTTGTACCCCGGGTAGGAGAGATACGAGACATCAGCCGGAGAGGACACCTGCATCTCGGTCAGAAAGAGCAGAGCCGGCCTCGCCGTCTCGAGATGGTAGTGGACGGCGTTTAGGTTAGAGTGAAGTCCCCCGATATTGCAGAAATTCACGGACAGCGGGGCAGGGGTTGCCTTGGTCTTGTTGGTCTTGGTCCGTTTGCCCCGAGCAGTTGTAGTCTTGAGCGGAATTTTGCCCCAGAATGCGCGAGGCAGCCTGAGCACCCACGCTCAGAAGTGGAGAAACATGATCGTGGATGCTCAGCGAGGGATTCTCCAGGGGTGCTGGTACCCTCCTGGGGTAGTCTATCATTATTTAATTCCGCTACCATGTTGATGGGGGGGGGGGATATGAGCCTCCGGCCACCTGCACTCACCAGACGAAACGCGGACAATATCCCCAATGACTTCATGAAATTGGCAGTCAATGACTTGGCTCCTATTATTTCCCACTTAACCAATCTATGTTTCGATACAGGGATATTCCCAGCACTATTTTAACAGTGGTAGAGCCACGCGGCAGGTTTGCTGTTGCACGTATGGGCCGGCTCAAACCGGGGTGGTACCACGACCTCACAGAATACCGGCGTGAAGTGGAAGCTATATTGATATATGTGTTGTTCCATGGGTGGCATAACAAGTGATTTTACAAACAAGGAAATGTGTATATTCCTTTTATTATTCATACCACTGACTCATCATTAATAATAATAAATCTATTATTTATTTATTCATGATAGTAAGATTCCCTGTAGATGCACATACACATCATAACGACTACGTACGACTTTTAGATCACTTTATGCTAAAAATAAATAAATCTAAATGTAAACCATCAATTGCAGTTATGCAAACCACCACTACGGATTTCATTCTACTATGCTCCTGTCAATTTCTAAATTAAAAACGTCAATTAAAAGATATACACATTTCCTGACATATCCATATATATCCATTATAATAATAATAATACTATTTTATTTTATTTAAAGGAAAAAGAGTGGAATCTGCTGTAATCCAATATGACAAACCTAAGAGGAGCCTAGATGAATATGACAACATTAACAAATATTAATTATTAAGTTAGTAAGTAGGGATATTCCGATACTAGTAAATACGAGTAGGTACTCGATACTTTTGATTCGATACCAAGTATTTATAGCATCGAATCAATCTTACGATACATACTCGGTATCGAAACAAAAGTACTTGGTATCAAATCGAATCAAAATAAACAATTAAATTTTTTTTTCGAACGCATCAGTCAGATAGAGAAAGTGCGTTTGGCAGAAAAAAGCACTAGCAAGCGCTTGTAAGCAAAATGGCGATCGTAAGCGGTAAGCGCTATCAAATCGTAAGTAGCTATTCCTCTAGCACACGATGTTAGTTTTAACCGGGGAACCTAACCTAATTTAAATATATGTTTGTGATGTATTCATTATTAAAAACTTACCAATCATGAATTTTTAATAACATGTAAAATGTCTATTCATGTGATTATATTACTTAAAACTAGTATTGCAAAAAAAAAAACAACTTAAGTCTTCCTCAAAACAAACAAATTAAATAAGCAAAATGGCGGATTGTGTCAGCGCTACTGAAGTTAGCAAACGTGTCCTGGCCGAAAACTATTTTAGCGCTAGTAAGCTCTTGCTAGCGCTTTTTTCTGCTAAAGGCACCCATCGCATGGCAGCGTGAGTGACGCGAGCCGAACTTGCCGACTTCAGCCGAACCGAGCCGAAAGGGAGAAAGCCACCCGCCATTTAAGATGTCATGTTATTGTCAACTAATAAAATTATACGTACTTTGTTTAAACTGAGTGATTGTTTACGAGTAATTTTAATTATTGTAATCATCGGCTTATTATTCCAATGTTATCATGGCACCACCAAAATCAATAATATGGACACATTTTACTAAAACAAACGAAACGGTTGCAAAATGTAAACAGTGCAAATTTTTGTTTTAATTATTGTCCTTCAAAGTTCATTGTTTTTACGTTAGTAAAGAAAAATTTGTTTAAATTTAAAAAAGTATCGATATCAGTAAGTATCGATACTTTAGGAGTATTTATATAAGTAGTATCGAAAAAAGATTTGAGTACTATCGAAATAAGTAGGTATCGATACTTTGATGGTATCGGAACAACCCTATTAGTAAGTGATATAATTTTTTGTTTTGTATATTTTTTAATTTTTATTAAGAGGTTCTATAAGCAGCAGCCTCAAGCTGTTAAATTAAGCCTGTGTAGGGCAGACCTTCTACTAGATGATGTGACAACCTGCTAAGAGATGCAGTAAGTCAATACATACAGGTGGATCAGGATTCAGGAACATGCTTTGGGGAATTCTTTGAGGGATTATGCTTCTGTTCAGCAGTGGACATGTGATGGGCTTTGTAGATGATGACAGTGGTAAACTTAAAATATTCTTGTAAGTTATTGTTCAAATATAAAAAATACTCACCTAACTGGATGCAGGTCCATTGCATCTTCAGAATTCAACCAATCGAGGAACTGTGTCATTAGTCGTTGAATTTCAGATGGTCCTGGTGGTATATGACCACCGACATACACCTGAGTTCTCCTAAAATGACCACCTTCTACTGGGTCCACATGTCCTAGAACTCTTTTATGTATCTCAAGAATATCTCCCATAGTGATGTCTCGTAAACGGTAAAGTAATGTGGAATTTATGTATTTCATAGCTGCATCTAAACCTAAAATCTCATTGTGTTCATCTATACTCTTCCCTGCCACCGCTATTCTTGTTTCTAAAATACTCCGAGTTTGTTGCAAACTCATGGTATTGCCTTCTATACCAACTGTATGGTAAATGTGTTGGAAGTATGCCTCTTTCTTCGCTCTCATTAATGCAGAATTGTTTTCTGGTATTGACAGTAGTGCATCTCGTTTTTCGTCAATTTTTCGTAGCATTTCTCTGTCCATGTTTTCAACAATACTTGCAGTGCGCTGCCTATTAACCAAAGCATCAGTATGGTCGGGAAAATTTGATAATGCTAAAGTGTACAACTGATCAGCCTTAACTACATCTTTCTTTGTATCTTCTAAAAATTCGCCATAATGATTTAAAATGTCTGCATGTTTTGGGGAAAGAGCAAAAGCGTGTTGGAAGAGTTTTAACGCTTTATCAGTCTTACCGTTTCTCTTCATTTCTAATGCAGCATTAAGAGATCCTACTGCTTCTGCATCACGAGCCTTATCAACACCTTTTAAAACCGTAGGTGGGGATTCATCAACGATAGGCTCTAAGTAATTGCCATATAAACCCGCGGGGATCGGAGAGAAAGGTTTAATAAGTTTGATTTCGTAGTTAAGCAACCTGTGAAGCGATATGACCACTGCGAGCGTACATATAACACTAGACAATATTACCACTGTTTTACACCGATCTAAAATCATTTTCGTGTGCAAATTACTCCTTTGAACGCACTTCATCGTTACACTTTCCTGCGGTCTATTTATCAATAACATGATTACTAAGAGGAACAAGTAGCCTGTTTATCGTAGCAATCTTTGCGTCAGTGTACATAATTCAAATAGCATTGTGTAGATATTGAAAAAAGATACTCAAAAACAAATAGAATACAAACACGTAAGGCCATTTTTGACACATATCAGCTGTAAACCATAAACCATAAAGATAGATTGTTGTTGTTGTTTTTATTATTCGCTCGAGAGAGCAGGCAAAGGAACTAAGTCATACAGCCTTATCTTTTTTTTTAAATTTGAATATATAGAATTTTGAACTGTAAAGGCCGGAACCAAGTCTTATTTTTCTTCTTTCCATCTCTTCAAAATCCATAAAGGGCGAAGCCAAGCCTTATTTTCTTTAATTCTTCATATTTTCAAAAATCACAAAGGCTAGCCAAGTCTTCTTTATATTATAATCTTTATAAGTTTCAATCCTTACTTACTTTACTTCCATTGGCGCTACAACCCCTTGTGAGTCTTGGTCTCCTCCACAATCTTCCTCCAGTTGTCACGCTGCCTGGCTACCTTCTTCCAGCTGGTAAACTTTCCCATCTTCCTGAGATCTTCTTCCACACAGTCACTCCAACGCTTTTTAGGCCTGCCTCTCGGTCTCTTTTGTTGCAGCGTCCACTTTGTCATTATTTTTACGGCTCTAGTGTCCGGCATTCTTTCAAGGTGACCCGCCCACCTCAGTTGCTGCGACTTACAGAACCTGACGATGTTCTCGTGCCCGATAAGTGTGTGGCCGAAGTAGGAAGGAAAAGGGGAGATCTCCCGCCGGGCAAGGTGTTCTGCCCGCGGAGCGGCCAACACTTCATGTGATAGTTCGGAGATGTTCTATATACACTGATTTATGATTCGGAATGTTGATAGCGCGATTTAGGCTTCGGTGTGTTTTCGCTTGTGGCGGCGACGACAGCGCCGCTACAAGTGCGTCCAGTTCATGGTTCATGCGTTGACGATAGATACCGTCACGCTCTTTTATGGGACCATAGATTTTTCTCAGAACTTTCCTTTCGAACACGGCAAGCTTCAGTTCGTCTCTCTGGGTTAAAGTCCAGGTTTCACAAGCATAAGTCACAACAGGCCTGATGATGGTGTAGTAGATGGTGAGTATCGATTTCACACTAAGCAGCTTAGAACCCAGGAGTTTGGCACACGTGTAATAACATTTGTGCCCAGCAACTATCCGTGCCTTAATCTCTTCGTCAGATCTATTTTGGGACGTAATCATTGCTCCTAGATACTTGAAGCTGCTCACGCCTTTTATGGTTTGATTACCAACATTAACGTTTTGTGGCTGTCTAGGTTGTCTAGCTGTTGCAAGGTACTGTTTTGGATGCATTTACACGCAGTCCAAAAGTCGCGGCTTCGGTCTCCAGCATTAGACAGTGGCCGATCATCCTGTTTCTTGACCTACTGGTAATAACAATATCATCGGCATATAAACTACTAACTAAATAAAACCGTAGGTGGGGATTCATCAACGATAGGCTCTAAGTAATTGCCATATAAACCCGCGGGGATCGGAGAGAAAAGTTTAATAAGTTTGATTTCGTAGTTAAGCAACCTGTGAAGCGACATGACCACTGCGAGCGTACATATAACACTTGACGATATTACCACTGTTTTACACCGATCTAAAATCATTTTCGTGTGCAAATTACTCCTTTGAACGCACTTCATCGTTACACCTTCCTGCGGTCTATTTATCAATAACATGATTACTAAGAGGAACAATTAGCCTGTTTATCGTAGCAATCTTTGCGTCAGTGTACATAATTCAAATAGCATTGTGTAGATATTGAAAAAAGATACTCAAACACAAACAGAATACAAACACGTAAGGCCATTTTTGACACATATCAGCTGTAAACAATAAAGATAGATGGTTGTTGTTGTTTTTATTATTTGCTCGAGAGAGCAGGCAAAGGAACTAAGCCATACAGCCTTGTCTTTTTTCAAAAATTTGAATATATAGAATTTTGAACTGTAAAGGCCGGAACCAAGTCTTATTTTTCTTCTTTCCATCTCTTCAAAATCCATAAAGGCCGAAGCCAAGCCTTATTTTATTTAATTCTTCATATTTTCAAAAATCACAAAGGCTGGCCAAGTCTTCTTTATATTATAAACTTTATAAGTTTCAATCCATATAGATTCATCAGTCCAGTTTCAAGGTTCCCACGCTTTTTTTTCTTTCCTTCACAATATGTTGATGCGTCACATTGCGAAGCCCTTGGGAGATTTTGACGACAGCTCAACCCAGCGGACAGTTGATGACGACAGCCACTTAAGTTCATAAAGCGCCTAAGCGATCAAAATAACTTGAGGTTTATATCGACATCAAAGCACTTGTTTCGTCGTTTTCTCTAATAGTTCGCACGCGCAGACAATTAATTCACAAAATCACATCACTTTTACGAATTAAAATCCACTTTAAACCATTATTCGAGCGACAAAACGAGAGCGATAGTCCGTTGTCAGCCAAGTTCCCGCCAAAACTCCCATAAAGATAGAGCGTAGACAGAGAAAGATAGAGTGTTGGTTGGTTGTTATGATGAAGCAAGCATAATTCTTAAACCATACAGCCTTGTCTTATTTGTATTTATTATTAATCGTTCTTATGAAAGATTTGACGACAATTTAACGCCAAGCCACGCAGTTGATGGTGATAATGAATGTCACAATGCGAATAAAAAAAATCAGAGACATATCAACATCAAAGTCCGCCAAAACTCCCTGAATTATGAAGGTTAGAGAACAGGAGAAGGATCGCCGCAGAAAATAGTATCCCAGAAATATGGACACCATAAGTTAGGCGCTGCGATCACTAAGTTCGGTCAATAAAAGTCATTTTCAGTCTATTTTTCCGATCAGATGCTAAACCACTTGCACATCCACGCTCAATAAAATATTTCTCTATTTTTAAATGTTTCTTTTTGTCAAAAATTACAAAATTACGGAGCATGAATATTTTCTCATTAAAAATGAATTTGTACATTATTCAACTAACTTCATCTACTTGTACTCTTAAACAGCTAACTTCGCAGTCACTACTCACCGACGTCAGCGCCCGTAGACAGAGAAACCTATAGATTAATGATCGGCGTGGCCTCGAGTGAGAAAGGACGATAACGAATTTTTAGGTTATACAATAATCTTTATGACTTTTAAACACATTTAGATAAAAAATTTAATTGTTCTAAGAACTGAACTGAACAAGATTCACCAATCTTAGGCTCACAAAACACTTTTTTCTCACTTAAACCAACTTGTAAACTCCTTAAATCGCTACGCTTTCAAAGTTGTTTAGCAAACTGTAGAGTTTGCTAAACAAAAAAACCGGCACGGTGAAAGGGACAAACAATCACACCGCTCTATCTTATTTCTATGCAAGACGTATGCATAAATCTATCTTTTTCGTGTGCGAATGCGAAAGAAGGCGTCAATTTGTCTATAGGTTTCTCTGTCTACGTCAGCGCCGCTACATATTCTACAATTTTTAAGGATAGGCGGGCTATGCTTTAGTACGTATATAGTGATCGTTCTCCTGTTCTCTAACCTTTATGCCCTGAATCATTGATTGTTTTTGCTACGATTCGATAAATAAAACAGGCAAAGGTATTGTACCATACAGCCTCATCCGATATAGTAGGTTAGGGAAAAAGTTTCTCCGTATTTTGTTATTATAAAATTGAAGAAAAATCTCTTTGATATATACCCAATACATATAGGACATTAAAAAAAAAACAGAAAAATTAAAATTAAAATCACTCCTGCTATTTTTCAATTGTTTTTATGTCCACAAAAATTAGTGAATCTAACGAAGAAATTCGATACATTCTGCAGTTTTATTGCAAAAAAGGGAAAATGCGACTTGTCGCAAAAAATTGTGGAGTTTATTGACGTAATGCAGTGTCAGTAAGAGTAGCACAAAGTTGGTTCAAGCGTTTCAGTTCGGGAATTTTGATTTCAAGGATGCAGTTCGCTCTGGTAGCACTCATACCAATAAAGTCGATGCCATTTTTGTAAAACTGGAGCAAGATCGGCATATTGAACACAAAAAAGTTTTGATCCATTTGAAAAAGTCTGGCTATACAAAAAATAAGAAAAAAAATTTGGGTATCACACGAGCTCCCTCAAAGACACGCAATGAATCTTGTACTTATTTGCGAATCTGTTTGTTTGCGAATTGAAACGTAATTAAGCCGAACCAATTTTGAAAAGATTGATCAGTGGTCATGAAAAGTGGATTATTTATGACAAGAACGTATGAAAAAGATGATGATGGGCAAATCTTTCATAACAACGTACGAAAAAGATCATGGGTAGTCAAGCTCCACAGACTGTAGACGAAATCCAGATTAACACGCAATAAGGTGATGCTGTATGTATGATGTATGTGGTATTGGAAGGGCATCGTTTATTATAAGATTTTACTACCGGGCAAAACCATCTGTTTGGATCTTCTTTGCCAACAACTAATGAGACTTAATCATGATGAAACGGCTAGAATTGATCAACAGATAAGGAGTGGTCTTTCATCGTGATAACGCCAGACCCGATCTTTGGCCACTTCGCAAAAATTGAGAGAGCTTGGTTGGAAGTGTTAGTTCATCTACCATATATTCCTGACCTTGCACCCTCTCATTTTCACCTCGTTCGGTCTCTTTAGAATTCTTTGGATAGTGTTGTTAAGATTTGTCAAGCACTCAAAATTCTTAAACCATACAGCCTAGTCTGATTTGTATTAATTATTAGTCATACATGTCCAAGTTCTAGCGAAATATTTGACGACGATGACGCCGCGCGGACCGTTGTTGGCGATAATTTATGAATGTTTTTTACGTGGTAGAGCCATGCTGCAGTTATATTAGTAGTATAGTTGTAGCACGAATGGGTCGGCTCGACCGGGGAAGGACCACGCTCTCACAGAATACCAGCGTGAAATAGTAGCTTAATGCTGCTGTATTTCGTATGGTGAGTGTAGAGAACCGGAGACCCTTGTTACTGGAAATGAGGCATTCCATCTCAGTCCTCGCGGGTGACAACGCATCTGCATTTTGATTTGTAATGGAAGATAGATGTAGATGTCTATGGGCCGCAGCAACCACTTACCATCAGGTGGACTGTGTGCTCGTTTGTCACCCTATTCTATAAAAAAAAAAAAAAAAAAAAAATGCCCCAAGACGGTTAAAAAACCCGGGGATATATCACCATCAAACCTCTTGTTACATCCACCATATAGTCCTGACCTTACGTTCTCAGATTTTCACCTGCTTCGGTCTCTTCAGAATTCTTTGGGTAGTTTTAGTTTAACATCAAGATAGGATTGATAAGTTATCGAACAAAATGGCAAATATATATTATGATTAAAAGTAATTCAACTTTGAAAAAAAAACTGTCTTCAATTTGTGTATAAAATACAAAGAAACTTTTTCACCAGCCTTGTATAGGTAACTTTGTTTTCTAATGCTGTTCAACCTTATCCTATAAAAAAAACTTAGCAGACAGTTGATGATAGTATCTCAAGGTCTCTAAACGCATAAAAACCTGAAATTTATTTTACCATCGAAGAAATTATTACATCGTTTCCATTAATTTAATATACAAAATTGTACCACTTTTACGTATCGAAACCCTCTTTAAACCAATATTAAAAAATAAAGTTCTCGTGAAAAACTGCCTGAACAATAGTGTTGCTGTTGCTGCTACGATTTGTCACTTAATTTAGGCAAACATTTGAAACCCGATGATTGATGATTTTAATAACAAAGTTCTTCATAATATTGTTAGGTGACTAGTTTAAGTGATACAAAAAGAAGTGAATTTAATGGACTATTTAATAAATTCACACTTATTGCAGACTGTACAATTAATAACGCCGCATTAGCATGTTTAAGCAAGAAGCAAGTACATCCATCAAATTAATACATCAAACAAAAACATCGTTCCATTTTATGTACAAGAATCGTACAAATAAGCTGATGTGTTATATTGTAATTTTTTGGGATATTTTGATGACAGAATGACCCAAAAAAACAGATGATGACGGTAGTATCACAAGCCACCTAAACAGATAAAAAATATGAAATTTATATCATCATGGGTGTATGGCAACTGTACACGCTCATCGAGACACGAGTGTGTACTACATGGTCCTCTCGTCACGTCAGTTTTTTGCGCTCAAGTCAAAGGGTCTCGTGAGTCTCGCGATGAAAGCAAGAGCGTACTCTATTCTATTCACCGTACATGGTTCTGTTACGATAATTAGAAACCATCCAGCATCTTCTTTTTCGCCATGTCTTATTAATTTTCTTTATATGGTAAATGTGTAAAAAATATAATAACTAATAGCACAAGGCCAAACACAACAGTTCATCTAGGTCCATCTCAGTGGGCATACGGAGTTCAAATGATACAACGACTGTGTACATGGTGTGTCCTCGTGTGGAGCCTCTACGCGACGAGAGGGCACGCGAGGCGACGGACGTGCGTGTATAGCCGCCATAAGAATGTCCACTACCCCACAATCTCACGAGGGTGTCGTAAGAGGCGACAGAAGGAAACAGACTAGGACATGGAAACAGCTTCTTCCAAATAACTCTTCAAATACCCAATTATGTTGTGTTTCAGAGCCGATATCCTCGCAATTTGGATGAATTTTACGTTGCCAGTAGGTCCAGAGCTTTGTCAAGCCAGGCCAAAATTTAATTATATTTTTTGGGAGCCATGGTAGCTCAGCGGCTACGTAATTTATAGTTTAGTCACTTTTTTCACTTTTTTTAACCTTTTTTCTTAATTCATCCTTAAAAACTAGGCGTATATGAATATTATCTCCATTGAATATTTTCAATAAATACTTTATTAAATACTGTATCATTCAAACTTTACAAAATATTCAGTTCAATACGCTCAGTGGAGTCCGAGTCCATGCCCAACATTTACTTGACCATCTCTTATTCTTGCTCCTTATAATCACTCGTAAATATCCACTGTTGGACACGGCCTTTCTTGTTGTAGGGAGTAATTGGCTTGATCGTTACGCTTGTCACGGATCCTTTGATTGTCGTCGGTCTGAGTATTTTATTGAAGTCTATTGGAGCCCTTCAGCCTTTTCCAGCCATTTCTGGCTTACGAATTCACGACAGCCATGGGTGATTGATTTTGTGAAAAATCGATAAATATATATAATGGGTTGAATAAAAAAAAATAAAGGTCGATATATTCAAATTATTTTAGAACGTTTATTTTACACTTCTAACATTTTCATCATTCTCTCGAATAAATAACGATATCTTACACGATAGCATTCAGATCATTGTAGTAAAAAATACTAACTAGTGATTATATATTGTTACAATCATATAATACATTACAATTTATAACAAGTAACATAGTTTTTTTTTTACATTTCCGTCCGTATTGGCAAGCTCCTTGACCGTACGTCGCGGATAATGGCGATTAAAAGGGGTGTAGGGTCCAACTTCATCGCAACAATGCAATTTACCACGACTTTACGAGCTCACTCAATTTATTGCTGACTAGATCTTGCTGCACAACAATAAAATAAAACTATTAACAATCACCGACTGTAATCAACGACGACCGGCACTTGGCAACTTTCAATTTATTAAACAATGTTCGGGGTGATTAATGACATTTATAAAACCTTTATTTTCTTAGAACGTGCTAGTATTAAAACAACAAGCATTGTTACTTTTGTAAATTCCCGTTTCAGAACGTTTAAGAATTATAGATAAAAAATCTTAACTCCTACCTATTTACACTAATTTTATGGCATTCCAGTAGGAATAAGGAAAATAGATTGACTTTGTTGAAAGTTTATTTGTTAAGGACTGCTAAACGAAACGATGTTATTTAACTTAAGAACACAATTGCCAAAATTAAATATGCCCTAAAATATCGTATTCGACAAGATAAACATATTTTGACTAACTAGTAGTTATTATAAATAATCTATTTTATTTTTAAGTGCATTAATAATCGACAAATCTTTATTATCACAACAATAACATATCAAACGATGTAAGCACGTGTTTCATAAGGAATACATCACGCGACCAGCGCCTCGCAGAATATTCTCACCAATAAATTATTTAAAAAAGCACTACCTAGCTAAAATATAATATGAAATACAGACTTCACAGCCTGAGCTTGGATCCAGAAATAATAAAATATATAATTACATTTGTGAAATGCATCGTTAATGGGCGCCACACACGGTCAGTTCAACTGATCAGTTCAAATTAAAACTGTCGATATTTTTTCGGTATATCTATATTATTAATAATCAATATCGGAGTTTTATATATAAGTTTATTTATCGATATATCGAAAATCCAATATTTAAAAAAATATCAACATAATGATTTCTTATATTTACGCGAACATTGCACATGATGCAGACTTCCGAAGTCTGCAGTTTGTGATCATATCCTAGACGGCCCCAACCATTACATCAGATTTGATAGACCACAAATCCTCGCGAAAGAACACCGATTCCTACCAAGGATGATACGTGAGGCTATTGAAATTAAAAAACATCCTAATTTCAATAGAGAAGGAGGCTGGGTACTACCACCTGCTTGGGATCCTATAATCAATAAAATTAAAACTAAACCCAAGCATACCACTGCAAGACCTCAGGACATAGTCAGTTCATTTTGCATAGATCGGACCATAAACAATAATTAAAAATGCTGAAGGTACTCCGGGTTTAACAATGACATCGGGACGTCAGTCATCTCAGTCCCCCGTGACCATGGGTGCTGGAAAGCGCCCGAAACGTCGGGAATTAAAAATAAAAAGTAAAAATAAACGCGATAAAATCCGTAAAAGTAGTTTTAATCAAAATATCAACAGTTTTATTTTGAACTGACCAGTTGGAATGATCAGTTGAACTGACCATGTGTGGCGACCATAACGTAGATCTCAGTTTTACTTATCTAGCACTTTCGTTATATATTTCAAAAAATTGGTTTTATATTGACAAAAATAAAAACAAACACTTTAATAAAAGAAGTAGGACAACATAAATCAAAATTAACAAGAGTTTATTGAAGTAAATACCATGTGTAAAATTTTAAATTAATTAGATAAGTTTAAAACATAAAGTCCTTTGTGTGCAAGAATACCATACATTAAAATATTTTATTTTAATGTCCGGTTATATTTTACGCAAAGTTTTAATATTATGCAATTCTTTTGTTACAAGTTTCATTTGTTTTCTACTTTAAATAATATACGAAAACATTAAATTAACGACTGTAGAACAAATATCGATGATGAAACCGTTATAATGAAATAAGTTATTTACATATTTTTCTCTTTCACACTACGAAAAACAACATGAATCCATGAAACGATACAAACAGCATGAACGTCATAGATAAGGAAATTATAAAACGTTGTGACTTTTTGGGTCTTTATTTCTTATTATAATTTTCCCTCAATGTTATAAAACTGTTTTTTTCTAATGGCACATGGAGTCAACGAGGATCATAGTGGAGTAAAACGAGCAGCCTAGAGCTATCATAGTGCCCATTGCTATGGTGGAGTGATAGGCGCGGAACGTCTTCAAAACACGGAGGTATCGGGGACAGTGAGCTAGCTCGCCCAGCACTAAGCGTCCGACCTGTAACAAGGTACAAAATAATGTAATATTTTATTATAAAATAATTTTGATCAGTGAATAGTGATTTCGTTTTCATTTAAAAATACGTTCAGTGACCTTAACCTTTAGAAGCATTTGCTCCTGCATCGTGGAGATGCTTACGTAATATATAAATTGCACATGAACAAACATTCATTCCTGGAACAATTATTAACTGTACGCCATACAAACACTTCCTAAGTGCGGGCTTCCGTGCGGGATTCTATATCTTCACCACTTTGCTACCGGGCTGTTTAATGATAATAACAAAAATTTCTAAAATGATGCGTTGGCGGTATGAATAAACAGGAGCAGTTTTATTTGTTCCTGTTTTTTCATTTCACTCGATAGGTTTCTAGGACACCAAGTTCCTCGATGGTCTCCTTATTTAGCATCACAACCATTGCATTTCGAAGCAACATTTTTAATGGCAGTTTATCTATGTTCTAGTGCTCTGTACGCAAGAGCAAAAAATCTTTACTTTATTATTAAAAATCCCCATTTTTTCCGTTTGTAGCTTATTTCAAACGCACATTTATGATAATATAATATAATTTTTTTATAGAAATTTCTTAAACTTTCTCCTACGTTTACTTTACGACACGTATAGCACCATGAAGGTTAGAGAACAGGAGAACGATCACTACGTACTAAAGCATAGCCCGCTGATAGCGGCGCTGATGTCGGTGAGTAGTGACTGCGAAGTTAGCTGTTTATGAGTACAAGTAGGTGAAGTTAGTTGAATATTGTACGAATTTTCATTTCATTTTTTCGTAGAAAATTTTTATGCTCCGTAATTTTGTAATTTTTGACAAAAAGAAACATTAAAAAATGGAGAAATATTTTATTGTGCGCAGATGTGCAAGTGGATGAGCATCTGATCGGAAAAATAGACTGAAAATGTCTTTTATTGACTGCACTTAGTGATCGCAGCGCCTCACTGATGGTGTCCATATTTCTGGGACACTATTTACTACGGCGGTCGTTCTCCTCTTCTCTAACCTTTATGGATAGCACGCTGACATATATAATCACGATAAATTTTGTTTTAACAACTTCGCTGCCAGCTCCGCGAATTAGTGCGGAGTGAGCGCGGGGTGCCGGCCCCGCTAATATGCGGAGTAGCGCCGCTTGGTTACTACGAATTAGTACGCACCCGGCACTGCTACACTTACCAAATGTATTAGAATTTAAGCAAGCTACTATTTTCTTTGTGTTTAAATACCATAGATAATTTTAAATAAACCATAATACATAAAAAGAAACTACTCAGCAAAATTGCGGACTTGGGTTAAAATGTCAATCTTAGTGCCAGGTCCGCAAATTCTCGGATTTTTTTTATTTAGCATTTTCTTACCAAAACCTTCTAAAATAGTTAAATATTTCCAAAATAACAATATTGAAACGTCCTTTATGCATATTTTACAAAAAAAAAAACAACGGATTTTCCCACGACGTCACCATATTCCAGTTGGCAGCGAAGCTGTTAAGCCCCATTTTACATAATTTAAAAAGTATGTTAAACAGTTACTTTTAATTTAATTCGTTATATAATAACTGTTTATTTTATATTATATTAGATATATTTTAATTCAATGCTGTTAAACATTTAGTAGCTATGCGATCGAGCTTTGCTTGGCGTTCGAAAAACTGAATTTAGGGTAGTGTGACCTTGTCAAGTTGACACTCGACAATAAAGCCTAATCTAGAAAAAAAATATTTCGCCATTTATGTAATCTGTAAGAATGATGATACCTATCTAGATAAATAAAGAAATTAAAATATTGTCTAAATGCAAAATTTCAGCCAATCATTAGAGGCGTTTGCAAGAAAACAATTTTAAAAACATAGTTATATACATGTCAATGAGAGGATTACATAGGTATTTAAAAGCCTATGTACTCTTTGAAATTATAGTTTTTTCGAAATTCCTCTCAACATCATGGCATTTTGACGGCTCCGTGGTGCAGTAATTTAGCAATGAGTTGCGTCGCTGAGGACCACGAGTTTGAATCCCGCACGGAACGTATACTTTTACAAGTGATTGTTCCGGGTCTGGATGTTTGTACTCGAGATATTTATGAATGTAAACTACCTCTACGATATAAGAGAAGATTCTAGTGTTGGAGTAATGTTTATTTAAGGAAAAAAAAATAGAAATAGTAAAAAAAATTGAGTTCAATTACGTGACACGTGTGACTGATAATTTTTGACACGCACACGTCAACAGGTGTCTATTATCACAAGCCACAAGAATGCTGGTGAAATGTTTATAAAATATATTAGTACCCTTTTATGACACATCTGCATTAATATGGTGAAAACTTTTTATATTTATTGCATATTTTTCTATGGAATAATTTTATCAGTAAAGTTATAAACATAATATTAACGTTATTAAAAAGTTTATGTTTGAGATTTAATAATTATGAGTTTGATTTTATTACTTTACTTTTAAGTTAGCGTGTAGGCGGTGTAAGAATATCCGCTTCCCCATATCATCCCGTGGGTGTCGTATAAGGCGACAGAGGGAAACGAATCAGGAGATGGGCAGCAGCGTCTTCCTAATAACGCCTAAAATATGCGATTGCCAACCCACTTGCCAAGCGTGGCAACTTTGGCAAATTCCCCCCTATGAGGCAATCTACGTGCGAGGTCTGTGTACAGCACTGGACCTCAATAGGCTGTAACGATAAGGTTGATGCCTGTTTAAAAATTTAGTTGAACTGGGAGGTCATTGATTCGAAAAATACTTTTATTGAATCTATCCATCTTAGCATATAAACGTCCACTGCTGTATACAGGCAAGAGAGACAGGGAATTTGTCAGTTGTTATCAGGAAGATGATGCTGACCACCTGTTTCAGTTTTCTTCTGTCAAGACGACGAAACAATATAGGGTGGATATTGTAACAACGCTATTACATGACAAATTTAGGCCTTCTAATTCAATGATTTTTTATAGGATATAGGTGACAAACGAGTACACAGTTCACCTGATGTTAAGTGGTTACTGTGGCACATAGACGTCTACATCTATCCTCGATTACGAATCAAAATGCAGATGCGTTGTCACCCGTGAGGAATAAGGTTCTCCGGTTCTCAACACTTACCATACGAAACGCAGTAGCGTTTTTTTTGATACTTAATCGAAGATGAATGTTTTTGAGCCACATAAATACCATAGAAATAAAAAATTTTAAATTTTATAAACGTATTTGTTTATTGGAGTCTGTCGATTCTTAAGGCGGCTGAGAACGACATCCCGTAGGTGTCGTAAGAGGCGGCAGAGAGAAACAAACCAGGAGATAGGCAGCAGCGTCTTCCTAAGAACAGCTAAAGAAGTACAGCGTTTGCCAAACCGGCTGCCAAGCGTGGTAACTATGGCAAATTTCTCCCCTATCAGGCAATCTATGGGGAGCAATGGACTTTTGAGAGGATGTAGCGATATCGCTTTCATTTATTTATTAAATATTAGCTGCACATAACCCACTTTGTAATAATTTCTATGTCATTGATAAGACGGCAACGGATGTTTTCTACGACACTACCGCGTTACCATGAACTTTATTTAAGATTTAACCGTGACCATGAATGTGTTTGCGTTGGATCACTTCATCAATGTCGGTGTCACGTAGTACGTTAGCTGCAGGGCCCGGACGCCCTTACCGAGGTCGGAACATAATCGCGATCCAAATTATTATGGACACAGATTTCACGGTCGAAATTGTTAGTTTGCAAGATGCGCGAGTACTTTTTTATAACTTACTTTAACAAATTATGCAAACGGTCCTCATTAAATTTAGAACTCTTTAGGAAATTCAAGGGAAACTATTAAGTACGGATTGCAATATCTATATAATTTTGTGATAGCCCCCATGATTCTCTTCTGTTTTTGATACGGGTTTTATGGACAATTTGTCTTCTTTAATTAGTAGTTTTTATAATTAAAAAAATAACAACAAGCATTGATCACATTTAACTTTTGCCAGATTTAGGGTTTTTCACGTTCTCGGAATGATTTTTAATATCGTAAACATGCAGATTTCGTTCCCTTTACGTGACTGTTTCCTTTTACGGCAAGCGCTTATTCCACAGAGCATGGAATCTCTATGGCCTATTCCATGCGTTACTCTCTAGTCTCCAGTCCAGTATAGTAACAAAACATAGAAAGTACCTTTAGACTTTAAAAAATACTTAGTAAGAGAGGCAGTTTTGAATAAAATATTTTGTGTTCGACTTTGAGTAAATTATTATTGTAGTTTTTTTGCGTTATTACGATCCGTCATCGTCTGTTCTTTTATAATGGTGGTAAAATACGTTGTTAGCATGCTATGTGAGGGTGGGTGGTGGTGGTGGGAGGGTTTAAAGTGAATTTATCATCTCATTTTGTCCTGTAGGTATCACAAAAGACGACGATGAGAACCAGAAAAATATTTTGGCATCCGATAGATGGTGGTATAATAACCATCTCATTTACATCAGTTGTAAGATATGCAGACTAAACAATCGAACTAAACGGGCAGCGTCGAGGATGCGAGAGGTCCGTTACTGGGATCGTGAATCCGCCTGCATGCGTTAATGTAAGTCCCCACGTGGTAGAGCCACGCTGCAGCTATATTATGGTTGTAGCACGAATGGGTCGGCTCAACCGAGGAAGGTCCACGCTCTAACAGAACACCAGCATAAAATAGTAGTGTTTCGTATTGTGAGTGTAGAGTACTGGAGACCCTTTTTACTGGAAAAGAGGCATTCCATCTAAGCCCTCAGGGGTGACAACGTATTTACATTTTGATTCCTTAATCAAGGATAAATATAGGTGTCTAAGAGCTACAGCATCTACTTACCTGCACTGTGTGCTCGTTTGGTAACTACTATTATGGGTAAGACCAATGTTCAGCTATAGATGTTAACGGGTCGATAAAGAAAGAAGATGTTGTTACCTCTTGGCCGCCCCCCGCCGCTTCCTCCATCTGCGTCTTCACGTGCTTGGCGCGCAGCATCGGCTGCACCAGGCGCAGGCGTACGTAAGCCTCTATGCTGAACACTGCTAGCAGGAGTGCTAGCTGCAACAATGGAAATGCACCCAATTACTATCCGCATGTCATCAGATGTTATTGGGTGCGTTTGGCAGAAAAAAGCGCTAGCAAGCGCTTGTAAGCAAAATGGCGATCGTAAGCGGTAAGCGCTGTCAAATCGTAAGTAGCTATTTTCCTCTAGGACACGATGTTAGTTTTAACCGGGGAACCTAACCTAATTTAAATATATGTTTGTGAAGTATTCATATTAAAAACTTACCAATCATGAATTTTTAATAACATGTATATGTCTATTCATATCATTATATTACTTAAAACTAATATTGCAAAAAACAACTTATAAACACTAAGTCAAAACAAACAAATTAAATAAGCAAAATGGCGGATTGTGTCAGCGCTACTGAAGTAGCAATCGTGTCCTGGCCGAAAACTATTTTAGCGCTAGTAAGCGCTTGCTAGCGCTTTTTTCTGCCAAACGCACCCATTAACTGCTCAATACATAATTTAAGACTTATCAACAATAGTAGTTAAAGTACCTACATAGCATGCAAATGTCAATGTTAATAAAAACAATATAAGCATATATAATATGTAACGTAATTAACGCACACCGTCAGACACCCCAATTAGTATATTATGTTATAATCATAATACATACACTGAATTTTTAGTTAAACTTTTTTATGCACTGATTATTTATCAAATTAATTATACTAATTCCCGAAGAATGTTGTGGTCACAGTACAAATCCACGAACGCAAAGATTAACGTGCTTGAAATAAAGTTCATTTTTATTTATTTTTATTGAATGACAGAATTAGTAATAAACCAAATAAAACTGCACTTTTAAAAGTCTTATTGCCTTAAGTTACGGTCCATTTCAGTTTGTTTTGACTGTACAGATTTAGTGTGACTGTAATTTACGTAGTTTTAATTATTTTTGGGATAAAAAATTACCTATATTAAAATGATAGGAATCGATTCAGTAAACGATTCTGAACAAACTACTTTCTCAAATTGCGTTAATTATGTTACATGTTGTATATACCACTAATTTAAGCTACTATAACTTATTATTACTTTTATAACAGTATTAAAATTATCAATTTTGTCATTAAGTATAATAATATTATTTTTACATTCATAGATCATAAATATTATTATAATTATTTTCTAACTGCCATATTAAAAGTTTTTTTTTAATAGGCAGAGTTGCTTTTCCGCGTCTTATTACAAAAAGTGGTTGTAAGTAAATTCTGTGGCCCATAGACATAGACCTACATTTACCCTCAATTAAAAATCAAAATGCCGACGCGTTGTCGCCTGAGAACTAAGATGATATTATACCTCGTTTTCAGAAAAAGGGTCTCCGGTTCTCTACAATTACTGTTCACACACTTATAAGCATATTAAGCTGCCATTTTACGGTGGTATTCTGCGTGAGTGTGGTTCGTTCCCAATCGAACCGACACATTCGTGCTACAATTATAATATAAAAGCTTGGCTCTAACCACATAGAGTCGCTATATTTTAGTCCTCATATTTTCTCGAGACTTCTTTCATGAAACAGATTCTAGTTTTAAGCCTAAGACTAATTATAAATGACCTTTTGTAATTATGCTGCAGCAATCTTAAAATAAACAGTAATAGCCGTGCTAAATGCATTCTTCTTAAGGGGAAATATAATGTCAAATGGCTTAGCAAGATCCTTCGTTATGCCGAAAATATTGCAGCATTAATTTTGAAATAAATATATGGTAAAGTTGAGGATTAATGTTAATGATTATGTTAGACGAAAACACGATTTCGTAAAATTTTCTCGATAGAAAAAAAAATCCAAAGTTACCTCCAAAATAAACAATAAACCGCTGTTATTCATAAAATACTTTAAATAAGATCATGAAACTTTGCATACTAACTGAACTAACTATAAAGCAGAGCTTATGTTATTTACTTTTTTTAAAATACCATTTTTTTCACTGTAAAAAAGAAATTACCTAAACTATCGGCGTCTTGAGCTTGATTCCTGTCGCCCGTTAGTATCGCTCCGGCTTTTGAAGGGAGAAGTTGTGTCGCTTACGATCAGAATATACATTACGCAACAGTACGACGTAAAATTAAAATGGAAAATAACCGTGATAAAAATAAGAAGCGGCTGGCTTGGCGTTAAGAAACAGGCATAAATATGATAAACCTAATGAAATAAGTGTCTAACGACCTTTCTACTTACAGTATTAGTGATTACAAACATATCGGTACATAGCATACGACGCGCGGGGAAGTGGGGGCGAAATTAGAATTTGAGCTGACTTACTCTATCCTCTTAAATAGGTACAAGTTTATGCGGTAGAGACACGCTGCTATTAATGGTTGTAGCACGAATGGGTCAGCTCTACAGGAGTAGGACCATGCTCTAACAGAATACTAGCGTAAAATAGTAGCAGCTTAATGCTGTTGTGTTTCGTATGGTGAGTGTAGAGAACCGGATACTCTTTTTACTGGAAATGTGGCATTCTATTTTGGTCCTCAGGAGTGACAATGCATCTGCATTTTAATTCTTAATCGAGGACAGATGTAGATGTCTATGGGCCACAGCATGCACTTATCATCAAGTGTTGTGCTCGTTTGTCATTCTTATTTTATGAAAAAGGTATTTTTATTTTGGTCCATAAAATTTGTACAGATTGCTTAAGTTCTTTTTTTTTTTACTTTTTGATACAAAATATTAATGATATTTCCTAACAAAAATACGTATTTATTTTATGTACATTCACGGTATTAGAACTAATACCGTATAAGTTAGAACTTACAAATACCTACAGACATCTGAAATTTCAATTCGTGCCTATTTAATAAACGTTTATGCCACAGAGTAATGTAATATAATAACGTTTGAGATTAGCAGTATGATTTTGTACCTCTGGTGGGTATCGTTGGCCGGTGTATTATATTTTGTAACCTAAAATAAGATATAAAGACATCGGTTTATAATCCATACTGTTACATTTACATGATACAACGAAACTAAAGGCCAAACGTCAAAACGAATTCAATCACGATTCCCAGCAGAGTTACACAATCGCACTGCAGATAGGTAGATCCACGAGACCAGTTGAATCACTAGGCATAGTCTCAGTGTATTTTTTAAATTACCTACAGCACTTTTGCCGCTGAACGTAGGCAACCTCACGATGATAATCTAAAGAATAAAAAAAAAGATGGCAACACGGTAAAAACATGATCCTTATCTACGTACCTACATCCATCAACTTTCTACATGTGGTACAAGATCGTCTCTCCAGCTATTGGAACACCGGCCTGCGCTACTCAAGAATCTTTCTTTCCCGCCGGTCGTCGGTTCTTCGAGTTAGCCCTTTGCCACTTCAGCTTATCGATTTGTAAATTCGGAGGCTATATAGGTAGTTATGTTTCAAAAAAGATCCTTAAAAACTTGAGAAACTAATATTTTGAGCAGTATCCAAGACATGAAGCATTGAGAAAGAAACAAGCAACACCAAAAGATTGTTGTAGATTACCGGCCTTTTAAAAAGGAGTACGCTGGACCTGTATGTTCGGAAGGCGACTTTATTCGATACGCCTGTTGGCTCGCGACGTAAAATGGCGGGAATTGCAAATTTCTTGCTAACTTGCAAATTTTGCTATATTTTCACTTTGAGACAATATTTATGGATAAAACTTACAGGGATTCTTATTGAATGTATAAACTATCGAATAAAATTATTTTTAATTGCTAGAAATTGTAATAAAATTCATAAATTACCCTTTATAACATAGTAGTAGTAGATACTTCACTTTTAGTCTAAAATTACTACTAATTTGAATTCTACACGTTTGAAAATGTTTAGAAATATGTATATTTTTATGTTTTATGTGTTTCTAATTGTTACTCATACCAAAATATAAAAAAAAAAAAACAAAACTATATATATATATATATATATATATATATATATATATATATATATATATATATATATATATATAAGCACATTAATATAATAAAAATAACATGTGTGTAATCAATCAAATATATTTGTGTATTTGAAAGGCTTACAGATATTGAAAGTACTATTATTGAGCTTTCAAGCATCTTCAGACCTTGACAAGATTGCTGTTGTAAAATAGAATCATTACTTTTTGCACGTCAAAAAGGCATTGGCAAAATTACACGCATCCAATAATAATTCATATTTTACAATTAGTGATTCCATAGTGAGAAAAAAAACTGTAAAACGATAGCCTTCAAACAGAGGTCAGTGAAAAGATTTGTAGTCAGATATTATTATAATGCAATTAAAACTATTTGCGAGTAGATTACCTACCTACATCACTTGGTGCCAGGCACAATTACTTTTCGTTTTTATTTAAATCACGTGTAGTTAATAAACATCAAAACGATAATTCATTTAAAATTAAAATTAAGGTCATTTTAAATCTTTGCCGTTTTTAGTAGTAACTTATTATTTCAATTGTATCACATACACTATGCACTGAACCTGAACACGAATCTTGAGAGACGTTGAGTTCATCTCTTCTCAATATTTCAAGTTTAGTCTTATTTTATTGTGATATTTTTGTAACGGAAATCACCTCAGAATATGTTTCGTAGTGTGCCTACTTTATTAAAGCACTTGACTGTTAATTAATTAATGGAGATAAAGAAATATTAAGGTCAATATATTAATCGCAGTGAAAAGAGCAAGGTGAAACTTTGGCGCCAATTTATGAGGGCGTTTTAAACGCAACCGTTAAATATCATTTTAATTTGCATTCACTTAGTGTTTGCAATAAGTATCGTACCGGACACAAATATTTGCCATAGTTGCCAAACGGTTCACGGTTCACCAGATTTTTCAACTTAATATTATTTACTTATAAAGTATTGTATTTCATATTTCAACTAAAGTAAATGCTTAACTGTGGTGGAAATCACTCCACAACAGCGTTGTTTTTTACATCATGGTAATATGTAAAAAATATGTGCTATATATATATATATATATATATATATATATATATATATATATATATATATATATATATATATATATATATATATATATATATATATATATATATGCTCGACCGGAATAGGACCACGCTCTCACAGAATACCAGCGTAAAATAGTAGCTGTGTGTAGAGTGTAAAGAACCGGAGACCCCTTTTACTGGAAACGAGGCATTCCATCTTAGTCCTCACCCGTGACAATAGATGTAGATGTGTATGGGCCTCAGCAACCACGTACCATTAGGTGGATTGCGTGCTCGTTTGTCAAATTAATAACACGATATTAATAAAACATTAGCTTATAATCGGTACTGACACCTAATATACAGTGTAAATTTTACACAACACAAATAAATGAAACGTCAAACGATTATCACTATAGTTAATCCTACTTACTGCAGGTCTAAACATGGAACGCTCTATCAGAAATAAACATGCATGTTTCCAGGATTTAAATATTGTCGAAATATTTTTTTAGACATGTATGTTTCCCCACGCCATCTTTCTTTACTGTCGGTTACGTTGAAGATGTGGACACAATATTGCAATTAATAACTATTATTTTTAATAAATAGATTATAGAAGAGTGTGGTTTGCAAGATGATGTTGTGACCAGGATTAAGAAAGGAATGCTTCGGTGGTTTGGTCATGTGGAAAGAATGAATGAGGAAAGAGTGACAAAGAAAATTTATGGTGCAGAAGTGAATGGCAGAATCGGAAAGGGACGTCCTAGGCGAAAATTTATCGACCAAATTGGCGATTTATTGAAAACGGGCCAAATTAGGAGTACCCTTAACCGACGAGCATGTATGCGTAGGTTTATGGATGTGAAGGAGGCAAGAGAGGTGTGTCAGGATCGTGCCAAATGGAAGTCTGTAGTCTCTGCCTACCCCTCTGGGTGACAGGCGTGAGTGTTTATAAATAGATTATCTCTTATTTAAGTGATTAATCTCGAGTTGTTCGCTTATAATGAAAACTCAGATAAGCCTCTAATTTAAGTACACTTTATTTAAAATAATATTAAAGCCAATGTGTAATCTTCATGTGTGGTGTCTTTTATTATCTTTTATTTATTTTCTCTTTCATAAGTTCACTGTGTTCAAGCTGCCATACAAGGTAAGATCCGTTTTGTATTGCTGTTGAGACAACAACAGATGAAATATTTTTGCTTTTACAACAGTTAAATACGCAATAATATATTAAAGAAAAAACTTAACCGTACAAAACTTTTCATATACATAAATTTATACTGAAAAAGATAAAACACAACATTTCATAATATCCTAACCCGAAAATTTTATCTAAATTTATAGTTATAACGAAGGGGCGTGCCGAATAAAAGGAATTAACTGCTGGACAGAAGTTTGTTGTTCTGTACCTGATGGCGTTATGACTGCAATTAAAATAGTTATAGAAATAAAAAAATGTCGCCAATATAACTAACCTGTATCCAGGACGTGTGTTGGAAGTGCGTAAGACATTGCGTGCGGAAGTACGCAAGCAGAGCCAGCAGGCTGACCACGGCGTTGAAGGCGTAGTACACGGGAAACAGCACTGTCTGGACGCGACCGAACTCGTGACGTGGCAGCGAGAAGTATAACACAACCCCTGCAAGAAAATAAAAGAATTAAATTTTGCGGTGGCGGGCATGACCCAAATACTAAAACGCTGCTTCATTTTAAGATGTTAGTTTCGTGCTGTCTCTGTTACTGCTAGCCAAAATGACTGTGACACTACGAGACTTGGCCGTTGATCTATCAAAGTATGCTAATAATTTTTTTTATTATTTCATCCTCCGACATATACCTCGGATATCTTGTGTAGCTGGTTGCAGTTTCATGTGTTAGCCGTCCAATACACCCTATATATCTATGTTAGGCAGTGGACTTCACTGCTGAACAAATACCTCCCACACAGATTGTCTCATAGAGGGACATTGCCATAACTTCCAGGCTTTGCAGGCGACTGCTTTTTTATTATTTTGAACTGTTATCAGAAAAATGCTGCTGCCATTTCCTGATTTGTTCCCCTCTGTCGCCTCATACACACCTGGGACAATAAGGGGTAGTGGATAATGTTACACCGCCGCAATACGGTGAATACCAGCGTGAAATAGTAGCTTAATGCTGCTGTATTTCGTATGGTGAGTGTAGAGAACCGGCGACCCATTTTACTGGAAACGAGGCATTCCATCTTAGTCCTCACGGGTGACAACACATCTGCATTTTGATTCGTAATCGAGGATAGATGTAGATGTCTATGGGCCACAGCAACCACTTACCATCAGGTGGACTGTGTGCTCGATTGTCACCCTATCCTATAAAAAAAAATCCGTCTAACTCAATCCCCCACATGAAAAAGTGACTTTGGTAAGCCAAATGAAAATGAAGCTGAAATTTTACAAGTTTTTTTTTGTCTGATATTGTTTTAATAATTTTCAAATAATATACATGGATTACAGAAGACTTTTACTGATTTTTTAAAGATACTTGCGAAAATAAGAGTTTGGGCATTTTTTTGGGAAAGCTTTGGATGACGATAACCTATTAGACGCCAATATCGCCGCTTTTTATAGAGTACATAATTGTGACGAATATAAAAAATTGTGAGGAAAATAAAAATAAATTAAAAATATGTAATATACGTGGTAGAGCCACGCTGCAGCTATATATATTATGCTTGTAGCACGAATCGGTCGGCTCTACTGGGTTAGGATCACGCACTCACAGAATACCAGCGCAAAATGGGAACTCAATGCTGCCGTGTTTTGTATGGTGAGTGTTGAGATCCGAAGACCCTGTTTACTAGAAATGATGCATTCTATCTTAGTCCTCAGGGGTGACAACGCATTTGCATTTTGATATATGATAGATTGATCTTAATGAAGATGATAGATGGCTATAGCCACAGCATCCACTTATCATCAGGTGAACTGTGTGCTCGTTTGTTACAATTATCCTATATAAAAAAGTCACTGACTCTCTATAGTGAACATACGTAAACAGCAGTTGAGCTTTTATTTTAAACTGGTTTTCTATGAGATTCCCAGGCCGATAAGAATCTTTATCAATTCCCATTTCTCTTCAATGAACGTATTTTTAATCACAATCGGGCCTTAAGAGGATAGAGTAAGTCAGCTCAAATTCTAATTTCGCCCCCACTTCCCCGCGCGTCGTATGCTATGTACCGATATGTTTGTAATCACTAATACTGTAAGTAGAAAGGTCGTTAGACACTTATTTCATTAGGTTTATCATATTTATGCCTGTTTCTTAACGCCAAGCCATCCGCTTCTTATTTTTATCACGGTTATTTCCCATTTTAATTTTACGTCGTACTGTTGCGTAATGTATATTCTGATCGTAAGTGACACAACTTCTCCCTTCAAAAGCCGGAGCGATACTAACGGGCGACAGGAATCAAGCTCAAGACGCCGATAGTTTAGGTAATTTCTTTTTTACAGTGAAAAAAATGGTATTTTAAAAAAAGTAAATAACATAAGCACTGCTTTATAGATAGTTCAGTTAGTATGCAAAGTTTCATGATCTTATTTAAAGTATTTTATGAATAACAGCGGTTTATTGTTTATTTTGGAGGTAACTTTGGATTTTTTTTCTATCGAGAAAATTTTACGAAATCGTGTTTTCGTCTAACATAATCATTAACATTAATCCTCAACTTTACCATATATTTATTTCAAAATTAATGCTGCAATATTTTCGGCATAACGAAGGATCTTGCTAAGCCATTTGACATTATATTTCCCCTTAATAATAAATATTGACGTCAATTTATGAAAATGTGCTCTAGCTCCCTCTTTTCACTAAATGACGATAGAAAGAGACAAATATAGAGAAATTAATACTTAAGTAAGCAATAATCAAAGATTTTGAGCAAGACCGTAAGAGATTTACTGTATCTGTCTGTTATAAGTTCTCACACTTAGTCAATGACCCAATTCGCAATTTGTCTGCCCGCGAGCCAATTGACACCGTGCTCTATATTTCTTCCGGGTGCTATTGATTTGACCTTTAAAATGAAGTGATGAAGTGCTTGTAATAATTCCATGTATACCGTAGTGATTATATACTCAATGGAGGTTAGAGATAAGGAGAACGATCGCTGTAAAAAATAGTGTCCCAGAAATATGGACAAAATAGGTGAGGCGCTGCGATTGCTAAGTTACCTCAATAAAAGTCATTTTCAGTCTATTTTTTCGATCAGATGCTAAACCACTTGAACATCCACGGGCAATGCAATATTTCAAATTTTTTTAATGTTTCTTCTTGTCAAAAATTAAAAATTACGGAGCACGATTATTTTCTCACCAAAGCCACGAAGAACAGCTAACTTCGCAGATACTACTTACCAACGAATTTTCATGGACAAGAGGGCTATGCTTTAGTACGTAGCCTTCGTTCTCCTTCTCTCTAACCTCCATGATATACTCTCTGTACACCAAAGAGTATATAATCACTTCTTTTAGTATCATTATAATATATATCGTTATATTATTACTTTTGTTTTATTTTAGTTATTAATGTATTGATTATAGTATCACTTATAATGTATATAGAATAAGAAAAATCTACTTCTATTATTAAAATGCCATGGCCTTATTTTCTAGTACTAATTTACTATACTTATAGACCATAATAGAGGAAAAAGTGACCGTGAGATGATGCAAAAATCGGCGACTTTTTCTAGGTGATATTTACTAAATTATTTCAGAGAACGTGAGTAGTTGAGTTTTTAAATACTGCAGTTTCATCAACTACTTTAGTATAGCAATGGCTACTCTTTCAACTATTCTCCTATGTGAGTTGGTTCTCCATTCTTCTACACTCCATAGCTGTAACTTTACTTTTGCTATTTACGTACGCTACGCAAATTGTGCCCACTCCATGACATGAACATTCTAATGAATCAGGAGTCAATAAACAATATTGCGATCCAATGCAATAAAAATTGCAACTCGGAGGAATTTTATGGGTCTACTTTTTCAAAACCTTTTTGCCAGTAATTTCGATTACTGTTTTAAGAAAATCGTTTCTAGATGCTTATTAATAAATTCCATATTTGAATGGTCGTTATTGACCACTGACTGATTTCATATGTGGTTAATTCGATTATCACTTCATCATCTCTCATTTGTTCAGTTATTTTAAGCGCGACTGCAGATTTTGTGGTTTTAGGTTCGAATTCCGGACTGGACCAAGTTCTGTTATTGGGTTTTTCTGTCAAAAAATTCTTAATAGCATTTAGGGGTCAGCATGTTGGCGGTGTTTCACCCCCTCGCCTTGGAAAACATGGAAAGCCGTTGGTCCTACGCCTCATTTCTCTCCGGTCGCATTTCCGTCCCATCGCACTATGAGAGTGAGAGAATATAGAGTCAACCCGTGCTTGCGCAGACACTCTTGTGCGTTATAATCTATAATATAATCATGTCCTGCACAAGACCTGAGCGATATTCATTCTGGAGGACATTATTATTGTGACCTCATAATTACTAGCTTTCATGTGATATCATAGGATACATGTGCTTGTTATTTTAATTTCGATCAGATTTCATCATTTCATTCTTACCAAATACCGATTTAGTATTAGGAAAGAATTATGATGTATGAACATGAGTTGTGATAACGTTAGTGATCATACTAGATGCAATTATTGTAATGTGATCAGTTCTTAATACGTCTGCAAAATTTTAGATTATTCTGACATTTGAAAGTGAGGTTAATAACGGTAGTTTTATAAGTTATTATTTGACATATCATGTATTTTTAAAGCTATTATAATAAAGAAGAAGCTTACAATTTACTTCCGACTTCACCACTTAAATTATGGCTCCCCTTAAATTATACTTAGAACTGGTAGCACTTACCTAAAACGCCTGTAATTAATTGGTAATTTAGATGACACTAAAACTAAATGTATGAAATTCATAATTCCGAATGTCCTCGTACAACTTCTCTGTGGAATTGTTTACCACGGCGACTTTTCCGGACCGATACGACTTAGGGACCTTCAAGAAAAAAGCTTACTCCTTTCTAAAAGGCCGGCAACGCATCTGCAATTCCCCTGGGGTTGCGGTTGATCATGGGCGGCGGTAGTCACTTACCATCAGATGAGCCGCATGCTCGTTTGCCCCCTCTTCTATTAAAAAAAAGATTTCAACGAAAATAGGTTTAAATTTATTGAAATAAGAATCATATCTAAAAAAGAATGCATGATATGCGTACGAAGTACAAACATAATATTTTTATATTTTTTGTGCGGTAAACAATTACATTTCATTACGTTACATCATATTGCACGAAACTCAAAGGAATTACTATGTCCAAAACAAGACAATTCCGAAGAAAACTGAAGCACTTCCTGTTAAAACAACGTTTTTTTCGTTGAATATTCCTTGCAATTAATTGCTTCGGTACGTGACTCCAAACAGAATTACAGAAATGCAATCAGACACATGAAATATTTTTTTGGCTTTTCAAGTCAAGACGTTATATACAATGTTGTGTCGGTACCTAATTTAATAAAAGGTAATATTTTTTTTAATCAGCTATAAAAATAAGATTGGTAGAGCTAATTCATCAGGTCGGCCATACGGCGACCACACGGCGTGAAGAATTATTATATAGGTATATATTGGGGAAGAAAGATCCTAGGTGTGATCCAAAGCAGAGATTTACTCTAGCCATCATTATCTTCTTTCTCTCCAGCTCGTTAAAGACATGGGCCTTCCTAAGGGACGATTTGCCTTAATCGTCAAGTAGGTGGAGTATCAGAGTAAACTAAAAAGAGAGCCTCTGGATCATTATTTAGGCCAGTTTGTGGGCTGGATCATTTCTACGCAACACGGTCTATTTACAACTGGAAATCATTTGCACGTGTTGGTAAACCGTGAGAACTTTCATTGGGATTAGTAAATAATCTCCCAGAGGATAGTAACGTTTGCGCAACCAACAATCCGTGAATTGGGAACTCTGAGATAATATATGTGCCTTTGCAAGTATTTTATCTAGTCCAGACTCTTACTAATGTGTCGAGTGTTTCCTCCGATTGACCGTGTGATACAAAACAAGAACAATACTTGACTCAAGTGCGTTCTTAACCTCATAAGATTGAGAAATCATTATTAAAGCTAATTACCGATAATGTCTGTTGTCTGAATTAGATTAAATAAGATGGAGTAAAGGAAAGGAAAGCAAGTAAAGAAAGAATAATTTGTCATTATCTAGTATTTTTTTACTAGATAATAAGAGCAAGATATTCTATCTCATTCTATCATTTTGATTCTTATTCTTCATCTATGGGCTACAATATCCACTTACCATCAGATGGACTGAGTCACCGTTAATCTATGAAATATAATTTAGAATAACTAACAAGAAAAATAGTACGCAGTAATATTACGTTGCATAATTTCTATTATATAATTAAAACTAAGTTATTTTAATAAGTATATTTTATCACGGCATGCATTATGGACGATTTAAATTATATTTTAAAATAGAAACAGATTTCAAATATTATTACTCCACGGATATGTATGTTTCCTCACAATGTTTACTTTTATCTTCCTTTTTTGTTGTCGGCGGGGATGGAATTTGTTTTATGACATTTACGCACGGTAATTTATAGATAAAATTACCGTGATTTACGGTAATAAATTATAATAAAATATGTTTGTACCGGGCACGGCAATGGTTATGCTCCTCTATAAAACTCCTAATTTGTATTATTTTTATATGAAATAAACTGAATAAAACTACTTTTACGCATTTAATTGTACTTAAATACAATGTTTCAGGTGCTTTTCAGCACCCATGATCACAGAGGACTGAGGTGGTTTACGTCCCGGTGTCAGAGTTAATCCGGAGTACCTTCAGCTTTTTAATTATTGATTTTGTTCCGATCTACGCAGATTAAACTCACTGTATCTTGAGATCTTGCAGTGGTCCCAAGCAGGTGGTAGTATCCAGCCTCATTCTCTATTGAAATTAGGATATTTTTGATGTTTCTTGATTGATGTTCTTTCGCGAGGATTTGTGGTCAATAATAAGCACAATTAAACGCGATAAAATCCGTAAAACTAGTTTTGTTCAATGTGTAGTGTTGGCGTAAATATAAGAATCATTGTGAAACAAATCGTTAAAACGCGTAATACATGCGTATTGACAAAATGTACGTGTTGCTCGTAAGATGCATCGCTATCTTGGTTTTGTGCTTTAAAGTTCCCGGAATTCATCCAAGGTTGTAGACAGCACGAAGATGGGGCGATGACCCGTAAATAAGAAAATTAAGTCGTGTAAAGTTTTACTTATAAGCAGAATGATAACAAGATTTACGTTCTTCCTAATATCTTAAATCCAGGTCAACATAATGTCAGTAACGGAAAATAGGTAAATAAAACATACGTAGTTTTACATATGAAAGTAATTGAAATGCTAGAATGTTCGTATTCTAGTGAAATCGATCGTTTATTTAGATGTGACGCCAGCCACACACATGATTTGCACCAATGTACAAATTTGGCTTTTCAATATTAATGGCGTCCCTGTAGCGTGGTGAGCGCCACCACTATAATTGCTAACCGTACCATATGAACATATAAAGTATTGTACAATATTTTCATTCGGTGTACTATACCATTTAATTTTTATTACAGCAAACAGGGTCCTAATCCTAAGCCACCTGCATTTAGGGTCTTTTTGTAAGTCTTACCACGTGTACTATACAAAAATAAATATCATGGTACGCGAGGGTAATATGGTCATCTTGTTAATAGGGTCACATTCTTATAACTCAAAACCTACAGCCTTGTTTGCATAGATGCGTCTGTGATACGATAGCTTTTCATCGGTCAATCGAATAATAAAGGGTCAAGAGGTCGCTGCTTTATCGACGCCATTTGAACAGTTGAAATTATAGTAAACATTTTAGTCAATTTTAGTATTGTCTAGTATCTAGTAGTAGTAGTGAGTTTTTTTTAAGATGATTTTTCGAAGTATTCCTAATTATTGCCAAAGGTTTGCTATTGTTTTCTTAATATATTAGTTATAGTATATGGCTTTGCTTTTTTATCTCTGTCGTCTTCTTAGTTTTGGTTTTATAGTACGGCAATGCTTAAGGTGATCATATTACCCTCACGTGCTGCAAAATAGTGCTATGATTAGAGCGTGACGAAATATTTTTATGAAGATGTGCAAAAAGTACAAACAATACTAGCATTCTTTCTTTCTTTCATAGAATACATACTATACGAGTATATGCACTGATATTATATATAAGAAACAGGATAATATCATTGAGTTATCTTTATGTAAATATATTTTTCTCTCAAAAATAGTTGGAAACCCTAACCGTGAGCCTATCCACCACTCTACCAAGTTGGCTCAGAGCTTTAGATGCTCATCTTGTGATGTTCGAGAAAAAAATCAAGTTCTACGGTATTTTATAACGTCATCTAAAACTTTAGGCATCCTACTGATTTACGAAAAAAGGAAAAACTTTTTATTTATTTATTACTAAGCCTAGTCACTCATATCGCTTATTTACTGGCGATGCAGTGAGTTAAGATTTCAGAAAAACTCATATTTTTACCGAACTTTGTAGTATTATCATTAATCACAGAGTACTCTCGAATAGAATAAAATGTTGAGTTGTTGGGTACGGCGAATAATCTATTTAAATATAGTGCACTCTCCATGACACCACCGTAAGAAGATCAGGAGCAGGACCTCTACGGCTTTCCTAGGCACAGGGGTAAATATAAATCACCACCTACTCCCTGAATTCGGGCTGCTAATGAGAATTTCTTCACACAAAAGTAATTACCCGCCCGGGACCACATTATTAGCGTTTACGAATATTAGACCTATGAGGAAGTTAATGTAGAACAAATAAATAATGATTATAAAAAGGTGCATAGCAAGTAAACAATAATATAAAGGAAGAAGTCAGGCAATAATACAAATAAAAATAAATTTTGATGTACATTTATACGTACAAAAAAGTATGTACCCGTATCTTTGTCAGATTTCATGAGCTTTTTTTTAAATATAATAAGGGTGACAAACGAGCACACAGTCCACCTGATGGTAAGTGGAAGTTGTGACCCATAGACATCTACATTTATCCTCGATTAAGGATCAAAACGCAGATGCGTTGTCACCCCTGAAAACTAAGATGGAATGCCTCTTTTCCAGTAAAACAGGGTCTCCGGATCTCTACACTCACCATATGAAACACAGCAATTTTAAGCTGCTGTTTTACGCCGATATTCTCTGAGAGCGTGGTACTTTCCCCGTCGAGCCGATCCATTCGAGCTACAACCATAATGTACCACATATGAAAGCTTGCTCGAGAATTTGGAATTTGGAATTATTTCGATTTTACAAAAAACGTCTGCACGTTTTTCTGATAAAATATGGCTTAGATCACTCATATTATTGATTTATTTCTATACGTTTCATTGCATTTGGTTCAATTATTCCGAAGAATATCTCGAACAGACAAACAGACGGATAAACATTTTACAAAGGATTAATGGCTGAACCGATTGTAATAAAACTACACGAATATAGCGAAATGCCATTTTTTGACATCGAAAAATTGGTAAAATAAATAGTCATTAATAAATTGTCTTTAAAAAATTACACACACATTAACAGATTGACAGACGGATCTAGTCTTTAATAAATTTTAAGTTAGGATATAGCAACATTAAACTCACCAGAAATTAGCGTCATCCATATCTGAGCACCGAGATGCGTTGCCACGGCAGCGACGTAGAGCCCTTTCCACCCCCGCAGGTTACTTCCAGAGCCTGGTCTCGTCAGCCACACCAACACCACCAAAATAGCGAGCGCTATGTGGTATGGTTGAGGAGTTTTTGTCGCGATACTGCAAAGGGAATTCTATTATTAGAATGTGCAAAACTTAAAACTGACTTAAAACTTGAAACTGACTTAAAACTTAAAGACTTGACTTAAAACTGGTAAAATCGAAATTGGACAATCGCGAATTAAACGCGAAACGCTTGCTTACATAACTAACAAAAGATTAAAAGTAAAGTTATAGTATATATACGCTCCGTTCCTGGGCACATACAGTTTTCCAGTTTTATGGCAAGGAAGTGTCCACCGCACTGTCCCAATACGTGTTGGTAATAATTTCTAAAAAAGTAAATACAGATAATTTCTAAGTAAAAACATTATTTATTCTGTGGTAAAAGTAAAGTAAAGTTGCAGTCTATATAATATGTAACAAAAATCCTATGATTCCCGTTAAGTGAGTTATTGGAATCAGTATTAAAACGTATAGAAATAACTTTACTTTAGAAAATTTGATATATAATATTAAAATAAATTAGCATACATTTTTTTTTGTAAATTGCATGTGGTTTTATGATCTTCTAACTCCGCAAAGCGTAGTTTATGACAATACTCTTACTCCCCGGCCAATGCAGGTACAAATACAAAGAACTAGCAAATAAAAATTTATTTAAATTAAATTAAATTTTTATTGTCGAGTTTTCTGGAGTAACATTATTTCTATACGTTTGAATATTGATTCTGATAACGCACTTAACGGGAAACAGATGGTTTTGTTACATGTTGTACCTACGTATATGTCCCACTCCTTGGCATATACCTCCTCTCATTTCTGTAAGGGTTTCAGCTGTCCACCGCGCTGTCCCCGTTGTGTTGACGGATTTCATTTGTCTGAGAAATTTTTTAATTTGCTCTTTGGTTGAAAGTAATTTTAGTAAGAAACAACATTATCATTAAACTAAAGTATTATTTTGTGATTATTTGTTCAGTGACGTTGCACTAAGTTATTGAAGAAATATTTCTTAACTATTTGCATATCGTGAAACCGATGTTTGTAAACCATGGAGACAGCAAATTGTTGTTAATGCTTTGTAACGATTTTGCTTACATTACGTAAATGTAGCGTGTATCAGTAGACCACGAACGACTATGAAGTTTGCGATCATATTACCAAATCCCCTCTAACCGTTGTAATAAACTAGTAGTAAAATATTTTTATAATAAAACACTTTTCCTTTGAAGTAAAACACAGATGGCGCTAAGCGGGAATGCAAGAACGGAAAAGCTTGGTTTAAAATACACTCAGATTTTAAAAAGAAGTTAGTTTTATTTTGTAATCTGACCTTTTGTTTTATAATCTGCGAATGTAGAGATATAATTTTAATGTTACCAGCAGGTGCGGAAATAAACATTCTGTTTGGTGGTTCAAAATATAAAATGATAAAATCAATGACCTCTATATACACACACACACACATATATATATAATCGGAATCTCGGAAACGGCTCCAACGATTTTCATAAAATTTAGTGACAGACAGACAGACACTAACGATCGTAATAGCTCAGGTGGTATGTCGGTCGGGTCGGGTGTGATATCGGAGTTCCGTGGTTCGCGTCCTGTGTCTGATCCGGCTTTTTTCCTTTTTTTTTTCAAGTTCCCTTCTTTTGTGAGAAAATCTATTATTTCAAGCCCTTTTTTTTAGTATTTTTTAAAAATACGAAAATTTTAATAAAACTAATTGTATAATAATTTGATTTTTTATTCAAATAACCAGTTCAGTTTTTCTATTCTGTTGATAAGATCAAAAAATGTTATTTATGTTTCATCAGTATGTAATTTATAAATGTAATTTAAAAAAAAGCCGAGCAATGCTCGGTTATCCTGGTACTATATATATATATAGGGAGAGAGAGGGAGAGAGAGAGAGAGAGAGAGAGAGAGAGAGAGAGATCAGTGGATAAAATGGTGAATATTATGAATGGAAAAGGTAATAAAATGGAGACGTTTACATATATTTATTATACTCGTAGTATTTTTATATAGACAAATTTTACTATAACATTCAACCGTTATTTTTATATTCGACTATTATCTATATATTTAATACTTATAAAATCATATAATATATTCAAAGTTGCATTAAAAGTTTATAAATTGAAAAAAAAAATACATTACTTAATGTGAATCGATTCAGAGAAATTATTGCCTTTCAAATAAAATAAAATAATTAACCGTCTTTAAATAAATAAAAAATAAAAATAATAAAAAGATTTCCACATAACACATTCAGAAGTCTGTGTGACAAGGTGCATCGTATATCAACTAGAATGTCGTCTATATACGAGTAGTTACATTCAGAAATTCATCCCATATTTTCTAATTAAACCCTTAAGGAATATTTTCTACTGCCCTCGAATACTCTCTATCTATTTAATAAAAAACAATAATTAAAAACGGTTCACAGTTAATATATCACGTAATATACAAACCAATAAAGAACTAGAAAAAACGAATAAACTCCTTTTTTAAGTCCGCTAAAATCATAAGGAATTTTTTTTATTTTGAGTTAAATTTCGAATAAAACTTTGAATATGTGTAAGACTAAATCGTCGAAGTTAGAAACGTTAAGTGCTTATGAGGTGTGTCAGAATCGTACCAAATCGAAGTTCGTAGTTTCTGCCTACCCCCCTGAGAGACAGGTGGGAGTGTTAAATGTATGTATTATGTTATGACCAAAAGATGTTCGTGCTCTACGGCGAAGGAAAACATAGTAAGGAAACCTGCATGTCTTAGAAATTCAATTAAAAAATTATTTCAAATACATATGAAACCACCAACGCGCATTGAGGCAGCGCGGCGAACTTTTCCTAGCCCTAAACCTTCTCAGAAATGAGAGAAGGCTTGTGCCCAGAAGTGGGACGTAGTAGGTTGTAACTATAACTTTAAAGGATGTCTTTGGGAAACTTATGTAAATTACATAAAAATACTGGAAGCAATAGGTAGACATTAGATAATAATATTTCGATGGATTAATGCCCTTGTCTGTGTCAACTCTAAACATTTTGTAATAGATAAATTACCAGAGCAATGTCATGGAAACATTTTCGAATCAGGCTGATTATGATTTACTGTCTCAAACTGATATTGTATATTTACAATATTGTATGCTTAGTTAAATTTCATTGGAATGTGATACCGATGCGGGCGACGAGGCATGATAAATGATCAATTAATGCATGACAATTCTGTGCCCTCATTTATAATTAGGTATATTTAAAACTTTTAGGCGTTGAAGATTTATCTTTTTGTTTACAAACTCATAATAAAAGTAACGGTGTACTTTAAAATTACTTTCAGCATTATGCGTAAATCAAAAGTATTGTAATCTAAAAACATGTATAAAAGAACATTACAAATATTTGTCGTGTCAAATGCATATAAAAGTAGATACGGTAATTATAACACAAAACAATGTTTGAAAATTCTGTCTGTCTGTGTGTCGCTTTATTAACTTCATTAATATTTTAAAGATATCGCTTCGTTATTACGGTGATGCCCGTCTAAAAGGCATACTATAGAGCACAAATTATAAATAATTATATTAATTAATTATAATATTTGTATTTTGTAACAATTTAATAATTTGTAATATGTATTATATCCATGGTTATGCACTTCCTGTGATGGATGCGTGAAACACTCAAAACCTCAGCAGTATAAAATGTATTAGTTTAGAATACAAGTGACAATACTATATTTTTTTAAACAGAACAAAAAAGAGAACACCTAGTGTGATTCATTTCATAGCGAACGTTTATTACCAAACGTCAACCTCAGTATACGCTACAGGCACCGTTATTCTGTTATCTCTTGCAGTGTTACCAGCATTAAAAGGAACTAATGTTGATTGCTAATTATTTTCATGGTGTGGATGCAATTTGTAGGTACCATAGTAAATAATGTAGTGCCGTAAAAGGCGACAGGAGGAAATGAAATAGGAAATGGGCAACAGTATCATTCCGATAAAGTAAATTTCTATCGTAATTTTTACTGGACAGCAGTTTTACAGAAGAAAACCTCCATTTTATTACATTTTATATTCAACACAGCAATCGCATATCCACATTCAAGAAAGTTAACAACCTAGATGGTTCTTATACGAAGAGAAGTCGTTGATAGGTTTAATTAACACATGGCCATAAATTGGTTATAGGCAGCAAGCCTAGCCTCTGCTAATGATGTAAAAATTCTTTAGGCGCCTATTCCGACAAGTCGTTTACTATGGGCTTACTAATCCAAGGATAGTTCAGGAGTTTAATGTTGAAGAACACAAAGATTTTTTAAATTTAATTAATGGATCCTTGGCGTAGTAGTTTAGCGGTGATCGTGGCGTAATCACACATTACACAAATAAAGAATATATGAAAACTAACAACATAACAACTGTGTTAGAGTCATGCTGCCGCTATATTATTAGTATAGTTGTAGGAAGAATGGGTCGGCTCGACCGGCGAAGGACCACGCTCCCACAGAATACCAGCGTAAAATAGGAGCTTAACGCTGCTGCGTTTCAAATGGTAAGTGTAGAGAACCGGAGGCCCCTGTTACTGGATACGAGGCATTCCATCTTAGTCTCCACGGGTGACAACGCATCTGCATTTTGATTCGTAGTCGAGGATGAATATAGATGTCTATGGGCCATATCAACCACTTACCATCAGGTGGACTGTGTGCTCGTTTGTCACCCTTATCCTATAAAAAATAACACTTAATAAAAGGATGCAATTAGTTGCATCCTTTATCTTTCCTTTTCTTCCCCAATTCTCCTGCGTCAAAATTCTCTTATTGTATTTCCGCTGTAACAATTATTTACGTCAAAAAAGTTAAAGACTTCAAAGAACAAAACGTAATAAAATAATTTTACATACTAACGTCGTAAAGACGAGTCGGTACCGTCGGTACTTAGACATAGTGTATAAGTAAATAAAAGCCCCGACGTCGGAACGTGAAATTATTTTATTCCTTTTATCTTTACATTAAAATCTACATTCCCTGTTTTGCACCCT